TTAATCTGTATCTGTTCCAAGTTGGGGAAGGAATCTTCTGGTATATTTAGTAGCTCATTTTACAGATAAGCTTCTTATTTTGTCTTCTTTAGGAGTCATTGAAGCATTGTGCAAGTACTATCAGAATGAGAACAAAGATGTGAGGCATGTTTGGCTTTCAGCGGGAGTAGATCACTTCCACTCATCTTTGGGTGACAGAGGCTGGGGTTGTGGTTACAGGAATTTCCAAATGCTCCTTTCCTCACTGTTGCAAAACAGCTTCTACAATGACTGCCTGAGAGGTATTAAACAAAATGCTGTTTGTTCCTTGGATGACAACCTGATGACTGATGTTTTGCCTTTTCATTTACACAGCAAGTCTTACAAGGTCAATGATACCTATTAAATGGTGGTTATACCACTGGAACTTAACTGTGGAAGAGTCAGAGCTGAATACCAGCAAGAAATGATGTGGTTGAAGTTTTACCTTTAGTTTTTTTGGTGCATCTCTGTAACATCATCTGCCTGTTATAAAAGAAGCTGAATAGTTTTAATTAATAGACTATTTCAGTCATTGTAACAACAATTCAAAAGCTTTTCTGTTCCAGATACTACACTAATTCCTAGTATCCCAAAGATTCAGTCCATGATTGAAGATGCCTGGAAAGAAGGTTTTGATCCTCATGGGGCATCTCACTTCAACAACAGATTACATGGTTCCAAAGCATGGATAGGAGCATGTGAAATTTATTCACTGCTAACCAGTCTCAGGATAAAGTAAATATTGCTTTTTGTTCTGGTTGTTATTATTAATTGATGATTTAAATGCTGTACATTTAAAGGTTAGAATTCCCAACTGTGTGATGACAAAGCCACCTTAGTGACTATAAATTTAACCATATATAAACAAATCTGATTTAATGCAGCATGAAGCTGCATAACTACTTACTGGTACATGTAACTTCTTACAGGAGGTACATAAACTGAGTAACTGCTTAGATCATTGAGACTTGATGCAGAATTATGTCACATATGCATGAATTAAAGCATTTATTAAAAACTTAATTTTTCTGAAAGTTGCTTCTCAAGAAGAATCTGAATTTCAGCTATTTTCTGTGGCTTTTAATTGAATTCTCTAGTGTATGTGTATAACATACAAAAAATGTAACAATTTTTGCAAGTTTCACAAGTTCTCATTAGACTGAACAGAGTAGAGCACTTCTTTCTTATGTAATAAATTTTCCAGTTTGTGACAGTATATGTTTCATTGCTTTGTAATTATGTGTCCCCTACTCCTGTATTAAAAAGTAAGAAAGTAATAAGGACCACTGGGTGCAGGAGGCAGGGACCCAGAGGTGAAAAGAAGCAACCTGCTTGAAATTTTATTGTTGTTTTCATTCTCAATGTTTTGTAGGTGCCAAATCATTGACTTTCACAAACCCACTGGCCCTATGGGTACACACCCTCGCTTGTTTGAGTGGATTTTGCGTTACTATTCTACAGATAATGAAGGTGGTGCAAAGGTGGTGTGTACTTCCAAACCACCTATCTACTTACAACATCAAGGTCATTGTCACAATATGCTGGTTTCTTGCTATTCTCTCTCTTTACATGTACTGCAGTTCAGAGCAGCATCTTTTTGGTCCTTCTTCGTTAAATTGAAGGCGTGTTTTTATTTAATGTAATTTTCCTATTTAGTAAGAGCAACATTAAAGTTTGCATTTGTATTGGAAGGAAGAGCTGAATGTGATTAGGATCGCAACTTTTTGACATATACTCTTACAATGATCTTAAATTTTGAGTAATGCCTTCCTTGACCTGAAAATCAGTTTTAAGTTACGAGGTAGTAAATGGGATTTATGTGATTCTAAACTACTGAAGCTCTTGTTTTTATAATAGGTCATAGTCGCACTGTTGTTGGAATAGAGGAGAAGAAGAACAAAAGCTTATGTTTGCTACTGTTTGACCCAGGATGTTCTTCCCAGCAAATGCAGAAACTGCTGAGACAAAACTGTGATGGAACTGGTCTCAGACTACTTCGGAAATTTGTGGGTAGCCTAAAAGAAAAGCAGTATCAGATAGTGGCTGTAGATGGGGTACTCTCTTTGGAAGAGAAAGCCGTAAGTATCTCAGAAAACAGTTTCTGTTTGTGAAAATTTAGGACCATCTGCATCTCTTCTTTGAATGCATATGCACATATGGTTTCATGGTGATTTTCTTATGTCTTTTCACTTCCCTTGATCTTTTTCTCTCCTTTCTGCTTATATAATCCCAGGATATCAAAATCAAAAACATTTTGCATACAAATGGATGCCACCTTGATGCAACTGACAACTTCTAGGTCTTGTATAAATTTTTCAGCTATTTGCAGATGTAAATTAGGATTTTTTAAATTTTCCATTTTGTTATAATGTTTTCTCCTAAATAACTGACTGTGAGTATGTAAGTTACTTACACTCACAGTGCAAAATTATGTTCAGAGGTTTGAGCTGTTGAAATTTTTATAAATCCTATCCATGTGTTTGACTCTGGGGCATTTTACCTTTTTTAAGACCTTAGAAGTTTTCAGCAGATTGTGAAATGCGGTTTTTGTTTCTTAAGCTTTTTCTTTCCCACACTAACAAATTGATTCTGAGGACCCGTGTTCCAATTCTGTGGTGTCGTACCAGCACTGTCCAGCATGTTCAAGCTTCAGGGCACACTTTTATTTAAACTATGAAATAACTGAATCACTTGCTCAGCTATATTTAATGTGTGTGTTGAAAAGAGATCTTAAGTGTTTCCTGACCCTGAACATGTTAGAAATATCAGTGACCATCCTCTCCTCCTACTGGAAAAAAACCTTAAACTTTGGGACACGGGGTAAAAAAGGTGTTGTTTGGGATTTGGTGAGGGTGGTGGTGTTCATTTGGTTTTGGTTTGCCACTTTTTTATTCTTTAAAAATTTTGATTTATATTTAAAAATATCCATTGTTTAGAATGTTGTCTTGGAAGCTCCCATTTAAATGAGATGGAATGTTATCCCTAACACTCGTTAAGATTACTAAACTGATAATTTGGAAGAAGCTCTTTAAAGTCTTGGTTTTGTTCATTAAAGTATTTTCTTTTCCTCTCTCCCCACCTATTTCTAGGCTCGCTGCCGTGCTTCTCAGGTCTTAACATCAGAGAAGATTCCTTAAAGGATACCTTTGTAACCTGGGACTTGCTAGGTGCAAAACATTAAACTTCTGGACTGTGGACCCTAACTCAACAATTTTCAGACCTAAATTTTGTCTCCAAAAATGCTTGGGAGCCCTGGGAAAGCACAACACTGGAGTAAACCTGTAGTTTTTGTGTTCAGACAATTCTGGCACCCTGATACAAATGTAACTCTGAAGTATTGCGGTCCTTGTCTTACTAGAAAATGTATTATTTTCTTAGTTGCTTAGAATTAGCAACACCTACTGTCTTGTAGCAAATTATGCACTGTTGGTAATCAGCAGTGGATAAAGATACTATGGAGCTACTTCATTGGAGTTCCTGGTCATGGTTTACATCTGTAAATGTGTATACGTTGCCACTGTGACCAGTCGTCTATTCTTCACAGGTCAGTCTGTTGCACCAGGGATTAGTTTATTAGTAAACTGCTTTTCAATTAGCTGGCTTCTCCAGATGTATCACTTGAATACATGTGCTTAAGAAGTGGATCAGTGTTGGCATTGGCTAAGAGGTCTAAGAAAGTGGTGTCCAGAATAAGAGTGTGTGTGCTTTAGATGCTGTGCAAGACAATCCTTTGGGGTAGAGGAAGAAAATATTCCTTTTTTACCATGAATTAATAAAATTAATATATTTTTTAGAAGTGCTTATTCCATCTTCACTTCATCCTTTTTTTTTAAATTTCTGGGGTTTGTGTGTTTTATAATGTATATCCCAAAAGGACACTGCCTTTTGACTAGTGCCTCTGTTGTGCAGGGTGAATGCCATTTAGGAGACTGGAGCTGTCTGCTGAAACAAGTGTCTTGGGTGTTTGAGGCACTTTACTGTACTTAGGATGTGTTGCTCTGGTTGAATGTAAGAGCCCTGCCCTTCCAGGAGAGGAGCTGAAGGCTGGGAAAGATGGTGAAGTGTGCTGCAGGTAGCATGGGGTGTTTTTGCTTTACCAGCTGTATCAGGCATCCACCTATTGTAATTGGAGCTTAGATACATCCCTTTCATTTAGACTGCCTTCTATGCTAACACCTAATTACAGGTGTAAGAGCCTTACCAATAACTGCTTTCTCTCACGTTTCATGTGCTTTGGCAATAAGAACTTGTCATTTTTGGAAGCAGTGAAACATGTAAACATGTACAGATATTACAATCCTTAAATCACTGATTTTTCTGAAATACACATAAAATTTTTAAAAAGTTACAAAAATGCATTCATTCAGTAGGTGTGTAGAAGTGGCCTTTATGCTGTGAAAGGTTTAAATGCTTAGGACACTAGAGGGGCTCAGACTACGGAAGAGGGAACTAGGGGTCTCTCAGCTCCCATGTTAGCCCTGCTCTGTGATGCAGGTGTCAAACAAATGGAAGGAAGGAAAGAAAAGGAGAGATGCCAATAATGCAGTCATAATCTGCATGCCAAATCCTAGGCTTTGCAGCATGTTTGAGATTTTCCCCACAGTATCTTGATGTGGTAGGCACCATCCTCTGAATTTGAACAGAGCTCTGGCACCAACTATTCAAAACACTCGGCCTGATTAAAACTAAATTTGCTCTGGTCAAGCAGCAGTGTTGCAACTCAGTGCCTCCATGCATTACAGTGCATGCTTTGGACTGAAGCAATTAAAAACAATATACAAAAGACGTCAACTCCAGGATTTTAAATTACTGTAATTCTGTCAAAGTTTATAAATGGGGTTTTATTCAGTTAATACAAATTCATTTTCAATTTAATCCAAAATAGATAAGCAAATTTAAATATTACAGCTAAACTTTTTCCAGCAAAAAAACCCTTCTCTGTTCATTTCAGCAAACTTAACACACATACACAGCCAAGCTTATTCTCAAATTCCCTTTTTATTTCACAGATGTTAATTGCTAACAAAGCTAAACAAATCTGCAGTTCAGACTGAGTCGCTGCAACTTCTTCCAAAGACCTGGAGGAACAGACTTTATGCAATTTCTTTGTCACTTCAGCCCTTATTATTTCCTCTGCTTTGAAATTTAACAGCAAAAACACATTTTCACATTTTAACTTGTTTTACATAATTTTACCATTTTTAAGTTATATATTCTCTGCATGAAAACCAATAAATATGTTAGTGTGAAAACAGACTAGAAAATTTCATTATTCTAGAAATATAATTAATATGTAGATGACTTATGTGCGATCCACTTGGAAAATTTTCTGATTACCATATTTCCACAGACTACACAGGATTATTGGATTTGGTCCAAATTTAGAGATCTCCAATTCACTCATTTTATGAAAAAACACCAGTTTTAAACATACAAAGCTGGAAATGGAAAACAGCCTTAGGAATTAAATGGGGTTTTATGCAGCTGAGTTGAGACATACCAGAAATAAGTTCAGTGCTGAAGAGCATTTTAAAGCATCCTAGCAATTATACAGGAAGCTGGATGTAGTAACTATGAAGTTTTCAATCCAACTGTCTCTTTAGAAAAGATTTAATATCACATTACCTCACAATTTTTTTAATGTAACTGTGTTGGAGCACAGATCCTGCTTATTGCTTTGAAACATAAAACATTATCATTGAGACCTAGATGCTTATCTAGAGTTCTTAGTAGCCAAACTTAAAAAGATCAAAGGGTTGATGGTAGGAACAAAGGCACATGGTTAATTTATAAAAGTATTTACAGGGTACTTGAACACTTATTTCTATCTACTAGAAATTCATTTACCTTGCATGAAATAAAGGAAAAAAAAAGATTGAAGGAGGACATCTTAAACAGATGTTCTCGAGCTATATGAGCAGAGAATCTTATAACCATTAAATTAATTCCATAATTAAACTTCTCATCTTCACTATGGAATTTTCAAATACTAAAATTCATAAATTTCTTATTCCTCTAAGCAATGTGATACTTTAGTGCAACCCTCTTCAAAGATTGAAGCTGGCAGTTAAGGCAGTCTACTAACAGTATTTAAAAGTCAGCACACAGTGTTTAATCATTGAGGTGCCCGTCTCTCTATTTGGAAAACTGTCTTTTGACACCATCCTTCTAGTGCTGCAGTTTCAAACACAGCATGTTTAAACACTGCAATTCTTGCAGTGTTTGGGCTTTTTGGAGGTGACAAGGGAGGAGTCTAGCAGCTGTTAGCTCCAGAAACAGCTCTGAAGGATGGGCAACATCCCCAGGTTGATGTGTAGCTTTACTGCATTCTGTGCTAACCTTTACAGGCTGCCAACACGATGCTTCTAAAACTACAGCAGTTACATTCAAACCTATGGAGCACTTCTCTAAACCCTGCTGCTGTAATGTGCACTCCACTCATAGTGTTTCAATACAGTCTGTTCCCAAAAACAAACTAATCTTCTAAGGTGAGTTTTGATTTTTCATAGAAGTTCATTGAGGCACACATTCAAAAAAACCCAAATCCTCTCTGAACAAACCAACCAAACTTCAAGAGGCTTCACATTCTGATTTTTTTCCCCTACTGACCTGAACTCACAATTTTGAAAATATTATTCATGACTATGGCAAAAAATTTCATTGTAATTTTATGAAATGGTTTCCACTAGACTTTAATAAGGCTATACAACAAAGGTGACTAGTGCTGTCTATCTACAGCTGATAAATTGGGGCACCAGAACTGACTCGAATTATTAAAAAATTCCACAGGAAAAAGAAACAAACAAAAAAAAAAGTAACTGCATAGTATGTGATCCCTTTTATTCACCAAAGCTGCCCATGTTTATCCCAGGTGGAAGACAGCAGAAAAGCTGCTCAGCATTCAGATGCAGGTGTGTTTAGTGCTTGCTGTAACATTTTTCCATCGTGCATGTTGCCACATCTCTTCCAAGGACAATTACAGAAGTAGGGAGAAAAAAATTAGAGAAAATAGAAAAGCATTTTCAGACAGATCAATATTTCTCAAATTTTTCATCTGAAATATTAAAGTAAATTTATTTATAGTGAAAGTCATCAGAAGACCAGTCTCCTGGATTTAAAATATGTTGTTTTTTTTCTTTGGGAAAAAAATAAAGAAAAAAGAAAAGCAATACACATTATTAAACCACAGATGCTGTGGCTTTCCTGCCTGCCCCTCTCTTCTTACATATGTCCATATTGATGACAGAATCAGTTTGCCTGCCCCTCTCTTCTTACATATGTCCATATTGATGACAGAATCAGTTCAAGTAAGTCTAATCACTATCTAAATTAACAGGGTTGTAGTCAGGGTCATCCTCTTCATCCTCCAACTCTAAATCATCCATTTCTTGGAATAAAGATTCATCAACCTCCACATTGTTTCCAGCTGTAAGGAATAGAAAGATACTTTATTTTCATGCAAGAAGGAAAATATTAACAACAACAAAACATACAAGATATTTTTGTGTTAGTTCTTCAGTGTGGGTAGCTGCTAACTTACTTGGCTTTTATACATCAAACAAATATCAAAAAGTAGATGCCACATTTTATCTCTTTTCAGCTGAAGTTCTTTTTCTTTGTATCAAAACCCAGTCAAGAGAAATGTCACACAGAACCTCAGAATTCACTGGGAGCATGAAATTAACATTTATATTTGCTAGAAGCAGAGACTCTATCTCCCCAGGACAGCCAAAGCTGGAGCTCAGTACCTCACAGCTGGAATAATTACTACTATCCTAGTGAGATAAAAGCACAGGGTTCATAAGAAATTCCTTACACACCATATGCTGACATACATGTATTTGCTTTCAGATTTAAATTTTACAAGCAAGATGAAGCTTTGGCTACTTTCACGTTTTCTTCTGAAAGAGATGCTGCTTGCCTAAGGGTAAAACTTGAGGACTGCTATTTTATTTTTATGTATCAACAGTGACATCTTCTGGTCACTAAATATAGTTTCTATTATTTTCACTGGACTTGAAGGCACCTACACAAGATAATGCCATTATCCTCTAAAAATTAGTAGTACATGCTACTGTAATATTAAAACAGACTTAGTAACCTGTTGCATCTATGACAGAATGCAAGCAGCAATAAGAATGGGAGTTTTAATCACCAGTAGCAACAGGATTACAAATTAATGGATTAATCCCAAATCATCTGGGTACAGAACCCAGGCAGAGGTCTTTCTCCCTTGAGGCAGCCCTTGTGCTATCAACAAACCATCTTGACTTTAGGTATTTTGTAGGAAGAGAAGATTAAATTATTCCCTGTAAAAGAAACTAAACTTCCCCATGACTACCATTCCATGTTTATACTCACTGACATTCATAAACTTTTTTTGTTACTTGCAGAGAAGAATCTTGACCCTCTTCTGCCTGTATTTTATGATACCATTAGATAATGCAGCTGCATTAAAGAACTACCTCACCTGAAACTCAGGTATGTTAAACTAGGATACTAAAAAGCAGTACAGCAAATTAAACAGTTACTGTATGTATGTTTTTATGTGCTTTATCTCCAATTGGTTTTCCAAGTTTAATATTTTTCTGGCACAGGCTTACAGAATTTTCATCTGGCACCAGGTCTGTATTTTAGGCAGGCACATCTGCACAAACCATGAAAAAGAACTGCACTGCACAGAAGCAAATAACATTTATTTATTTAAGTTAAAATTACTTCTGTTCACTCTGCAAAGCAGTACTTCTCAGAAAGTTCTTCCAATGTAAAAGGGATTCTGATAAAAGATTTTAAGTCAGAAATATAACACAGATTTTGCTTAGGAATTTTGACCTTTTTAAGCCACTGACTTTCAGTTGTGGAATCAAACAGGAATTTACCTTCCTCCAAGAACTGGATGTCAGAGGTGTCGAGGTTGTGATCCATTTCAAACAGCTGTTTACCTAGAAATAAAATAAAAACCAATATATAAGCAAGTACAGTTCTAAAGCAACTATCAACCCAAGACAACAATAGTCAGCATGTATATTTTAGTCTTTTCAAAACAACCAATTCTAGCATCCTTTTGTGTTTTAACTGCTCGTTTCTGTAAGCTCTCCATTCTTTTTTTTTTTTTAATTCATCCATGCCAACAAGTGAAATGGGTCACTGTAATGTTATTAAGACTTTAATAATGGGGAGTAGAAAATATTTACACAGCCTGTGTTCAGTCCTTATTGCTTTACTCTTCATCTTGCATTCCACAAGAAATCCTCTGTGGGAACTGGGAAGGAAATCAGCTGACTCCTCCACCTTTTTTCATATATACTCCCATTCAAAAAGCAACTTGGATCTACACAAATCTCCAACTCCTATACACACACACAGTTTTGAAGACAACACAGAAGAGTGAAGCCTTTCTAACTAGGAAAGACAGGAAGAAAAGCTCAGGACTCTTTTCACATAAATCATCTGTCTTCCATCTACATTGCTCATGCAAGCTTCCATAAACAAGACTGCTTGGTGTCCATGGTAATACTAGAATTACACTAATGACATCCAAGAATAAGCTTGGTTTTGGTTTTCTAAAGGGAAGCTTTTATAAACTACATTTGTACAGAGGAAAACAGACGCCACATACTAACAATACTTTAAAGAACAGAAAAATTAGAAGCCTGATTTCTATTATCTTATCTTTGCAGATTCCCAAACACATACCCTTCAGAGAGGAATCAAGCATGTCCCCTGCCCTGTACAGCTTTTTATAAAGCTTAATACCATTAAAATTTCCATCTCTGTCAAATCTTCAAAACCAGCCAGAAATGAGGAGAAAACAGAACAGTGATACAGCATGACCACAGTGGCTATGTTTTTTCAGGTAATCAGGTCAAAAGCAGATCCAGCATCACAGGAGAACCAGTTCAAAACTAAACCATGCAGACTACGGAGCAGGATGCCAAGACCTATCATCTGTGTAAAAATTACTTTTAGACTTGTCATTATAGGCTGGTAGAATTGCAGAAATTTCACAGCCAGTATTAAAACATACCACTTAGCTTATTTTTGCCCGCTTGTTCTTCTTCTTTCATTTTTTTCCTTTTTATTTCTAGAAGCTCTGCATCAAATTTGGCTTTCCAATTAAGGAAATTCTCAATGGTAACAGGAGTGCCATGAAAACGTTGCTGGAAGAATAGAAAACAAGGCTGCAAACACAACTTGCAAAGCTACAGGTGAAGATAAGCATTCTCTTAATTATTTAAATTCCAACACTGCAGAAACACTGCTTGCTGTGAAGTATTCTGAGAAATTAATCCTAATTCTGAAAGCATATAAAGAACACATTCTTGTGTTTTTTGTCATGGGACTCTCCCCTTAGAAAACTATACTGAGGTGGAAACTCTCAAGGAAGAATCCTGCATACTCCTTTTCGACCTAGAGTGCAATAGTTCACAACTCCCCACTAATATAGTTTATTTATAAGTAGGCAGCACTTCTTATTACTCCTTAAGTGCAATCTATACCAAAATACTGCCCATTAAAATATATTAATCCTTTGTATTGCTGAAACAGAAAAAAAAGTATTCTTTTTTCTCAGTCACTTCTTTGCCAATTTTCAGAAATAGAGAACCTTCCAAGTCCCATCACCCTCCAGCTATTTCTCAGAATGTGAGTAAGGAATCATTGGTTGGACTTATCACAGCAGAATCCACAAACGGTAAAACTAGTTTACAGGAGGGCAAACCAGTCTTGAAAATTGGTCACACTGTTCCACCCTATCCACTCAGTCTTCCAAGGAAGACAGCCTTCCTCAAACCATGGAGCCCGTGTGCAGCACGACATATTCTAGCCTTTTTTGCTCCCCATTCCCTCTTGCTCCCCCTTCTTCCACAAAAAAAAATTGTCTACAGAAAATCTGATTTCATTTGGGAAAAATCCCTGCCTAAAAAGTAATGTTAGAAGGGACTGTGAACATGCAGTTAGACTCCAAAAAGACTGCTTAAGAAAAAAGGGGGAAAAAAGATCACTTAAGTTCATTAAACAAACTTATGTTTCAATTAAATCATCTTTAGGATAGCTGTTCCTTTCCCACTGTAACTGAGAACTGCTCTTGAATCAAACCAATGCATTTTAAAGAAGCTGAAAGTCTTTTTCATTGAAAACATTATTTTACATACCTTCTCTTCTTCCTCTGCTTCTCTTTCTTTCTGTTTCTTCTCTTCTTCTCTTCGTGTTTTTATTTGATCCACTATTTCATTTAATTTCTCCTGTACTGCTGAGACTAGAGTGAAGATCATCACCATTCCTAAATTTTCTTCTGCCTACAACACAAAGAAGGCAACTTCAAACAGAAGAACCTGAATTCATAAATATGTTTATAGAAAGCAGGATGTTGTGCAAATGCAGAGGGCACAGCTGACATATTCTGCACCAGTCTCAAAAGCTCGCAGTAAACTTCAAATTCCACTGCCCAGTTAATCCAGTCAGTTATCCCCAAATGGGTGTGCAGCAAAACACAAAGATGAATGTCTGTGATCAGGTTATTAACACATTATGGACATCTTCTGAAAGGCTCTTTCATGAATAAAACAAAACCTACACTAGAAACACAACTCTAAAATTTAAATATCATAAATCATAAGAGACAAATCACTCAGAACCTTTCTTCTCATGGAACAGTTTATTCCTTAATTCTATTACATGCTCCTTTGAAGAGAGACAGTTTCCCAGAAAAATCATAAAATATCAGCTGATGGAAGGAAATTTATATGAAGTAAACTGAAAATGAAAAATGCCCATTAAACATATTATGGCAATTTTAAGACAGTGAGGACTTGTCATAAATTCCTGAAACCAAAGAATTGCTTCCTTTTTTCCTTCACAATCACTGATCCCAAAGGTTCATGAGACCCATCTCAAACAGTTATGTTATCAAAAATAATCAAGAATCAATATGGTATTTTTTAATATTTCCAAATGAAACTGAGGTGGCTTATTTTCACAAATTATATATACACACACACACAGAGTTTAACAAATTCACCTTAAGCAAGAAGTGGAAAAGAGGGTGCACTTCCATTTCATTATTCTACATTATTGCATACACTGAATTAGCCCTATATCTTACCTTGATGATGTCATTCACCACACTCAAACTACAAAGTAAGTCACTATAGTATGGAACAAGTTTCAGATCAGTAGCAAATACCTTCAAAAACAACTGATTTGAGAGAGAAATTTCAGCCAATATGTGAAGTGGTATCAAGCTATTCCAAGATACTCTGTTTTCCTTACCTGCTGCTCTAGCAGTTTTATTATGTCCATGGCATCATTATCATCAAGATTCTCTCGTGAGACAATTTCATATAGTGGAGTTTCATCAGGGTATTTTTCTCTATAGGTAAATTTAAGGGTTGTTTGGACAGCTACAAGATAAAGAAACACATATTCTTATGGTGATAACTCTGTATAACTTTACTGATATGTTTTCCTACTGCATCAACAGCCTAAAGATTATAGAATATAAAATATTATTGCCCCAAAGGGACAGTTCAAAGAAATTAAGATAACGTTTGCACTTGCACAAGCTACTAAAACCTTCTCATGTCTGAAAGGTCTTTAGAAAGACTGAAAAACCTTCTGTGACAGGTACTAGAGCAGTAATCTCACTCATATTCTACTTAAAAGCTGGAACACAGCAGAAGTTGTAAGAACAGAACTAGAGAAAATCTCAGCATATTAACACCTCAGATCCTGTGTGCCTGTGTACCAGCCTCTGTGTTAGGTTCCAGGGCTCCACACTGTGGACAAACACCCTATGTCCAGTAGAAGTCATTAAGCAGAGAACTGCCTAGAGAAAAAGGCATTCAATCTGAAGCTGCCCAGAGCCAGGGTAACATTGAAACAAGGCAAAAGAGAATCAAGTTCCTTTTACACATCCTCCCAGAATACCAGGGAGCAGCTTTCCCTTAGTTCCAGACTCACAGTTCTCGGCAGCACAGCAGTCTGTACAACGCAGACACCTGCTCCAAGCAGGACTTACTCCTTTAAAACTAAATAAGGCAGCACCAGTTTATTCCTTCTGTTATAGTATCCAGAATAGCAGCTTTCAAACTTGCTTGGAGTAAGGCTTGCTGACAATATGCCCACACAATTGTTAGTACTTAACAAATACACAGGGACTTGGGACCCACAGCCTTCTGCTCTGGAACTGCTCCTTAAGGGCTGCACATTCACAGTACACAGACTCAACTCTCCCACGTAGCTGGCACACACACAGTTGCCAGAAAACAAATCCCCTCACAACATGTCTGTAAGCCACTGGAAGGATGGGGACAACCCATACTTTTTGAAGCTATGCTACAAAGCCTTTGAGATTCAGCAGAAAGCAGTCCTACAGAGACAGCATAACATTTCTGCAAACTAAACTAGGATCACCCAAATACTTGAATTGTATTCGCAAAGGAATGTTTACTGTCCAGGCCTCTACAAGGATCTAAGTGGAGGTATACATAGCTGTTGGTGATAGAATTAGATTTAAACATATAAAGGAGAAGTTTCTGAGTAAGACACGATCAACTTACTTTCATCATTTTCTCCAGCTTCAGATGTCACAGTGATTGTGAAAGTTGTTGGCTTCTCTGACAATACTGTTCAAAGGAAAAAAGCAAGAGTCAGGGAGAGTCCTTAAATCAATTACTTCTTCACATCAGTGAAACTGAACTTCTTAAAGACTTATAAAGAAAGCAAGCTCTTGACACAGTGTTAAGGCCTTTTTAACTTACTAAGGTAATACTTTTTCAATTAACAGCTATTTTCCATACGATGTGATGCCTGGAGTGCTCTTTGAATGAGACCATACATCAAACAATACCACTTTTGGAAATTTTCTCTTCTGGAAGTTTCAGTGTTCCAGAAAGTGCAAATCAAATCAAACAACTGGTAGTGAACTGATTGCGTGCAGAAAGCCACCAAAGCTAATATGCTTTACTGCACTAAATGCATCTGATGTGCATCCAGTGCACTCTTGACCGTGGACTATTTTTATAGAATGACTGAACCTATATTTAAAACAGCTTAATGCAAGAAATGCTACTAAGCAAGCAATGTACTAGAATGAAAGTGCATGAATCAGGCAGCTAGAAGATAGACAACACAACATAGCAACAGCTGTGACTTGTGTTTTACAGGCTAAAAACCTCATTGCACAATTGTGGGTTGCAGACCACATCGTCATGTAAGGACTGCTCTGCATGCCTGTTATAACCTATGCCCAAATTAGTGTACATGCTCTCAAAAGATCAACTGAATTTTGCCTAATTGCTAATGTACTACTACGATCTTTATTCCCCTCTCTTCTCTTGGGCATAAAAGCATTACATGAGTGAACAATAACTCTCAATAAGCATCAGAGTAAAGGCTGTATGAAAGAATATGACTTCCACATCAGATAGCAAGCATCCCCAGCTATAGAGATCAATTCACATACTTCTAAGTAATCTTCAACATAAAACCAAAGACCTGACAAGATTTTCAGATTGAAACAATAGGGAATTGTACTGGACAAATGTTTGTGTGGTGAAGTTATTGCCAACTAAGATGATGTGGAACTCTAGGCAGAGTAAATACCATACAGGAAGAAAACAAAAAATGCCCTGATTTTTCCACTGTTAATACTTTGGATACAGAATGCCAAACATCATGCTGGATTAGGCAGCACGGTAGACACCCTTGATTGTTTGATGGTAAACTGAAAATCCTGAAAAACTGATGAACCAATGTATCCACAACATGTAAGTTTCAGCAATATACATGCAGGGAATTAAAGCTCGCCTTTTTTTCCATTTGCAATGGAGTGAGCCAGGTACTGGCGATACATTTACGGAGGAAACAGCACCTTTAAGCACCCCAAAACATCCCGCGCCTAACGATCGGGACAAGCTTGTTATCGGAAAGGAAAACCGGTCGGCACGCAAATCAAATCCTAGGGCTGCATCTTTTGAAGGGCTCCTCCGAAGAGCATCCTTCCAGCACAGGGGACCGGCTTGCCCACGCCGGGCTGCCACGGCGCTGAACGCGGCAGGGCAGCGCCCACGGACCGGGCCACAGGGGCCATCCAGCGCTTTGCTTTTCCCGGCCAGGGAGAGCGAACCAACACGCCGAGCACCCGGCCAAGCCGGGCGGCTCGGAACCGCGCGGGACCCGCGGCAGCCCCGCCGCGGCCTCCCGCGCCTCCCCCCGCACGCCGGCTGCCGGCGCGGCCCCGCACCCGTGAACGAGTCCGGGTAGATGGACTCCAGCGCCTCCAGCTCGTTGCGCTGCTCCTCGCTGTAGTCGGTCATCGTGGCCCGCCGCCCACGGCCATGGGCCGCCCGCACCGCGACGCCGCCGCCACCGCCGCCCGCGCCTGCGTTGTCCCGGCGCCGTGCCGGCCCTTCCTAGCATGCCTCGCGCTCGCGATGGGCGGGAATGCCGCCCCTGGGCTGGGCTGGGCTGGGCTGGGCCGGCACGGGGAGGGAGGGAGGGACGGAGAGAGGGGGCCGGGCCGGCTGCTCCCGGGCGCCCTCACAGCCGCGCTGCCCGCCGCTCCGGCCCTCGCTGCCTGCGCTCCGCTCCGGGCAGGGCAGGGCGGAGCACCCGGCGTGCAGGAGCGATCCTGCTGGATCGCCCGCGCCGCTTCCCGCCCTCCCGGCAGCGGCGGCCTCGGCAGAGCTGCGGCCCGCAGCCCCTGTGTGACACAGACTAGCCACGGTATGGTTCACTCTTGGACGTTCCTCCCTTGAGAACTTAAAGGGATCAGCAAACTAAAGGGGATTCGAGCGCGATGCGCTAGGCATTGCGTAAGGGTACCGTGAAGGCAGCTGAATGCTATTTCTGCCAGAAATTGGAAGTTTATTAGATGCCGCTGGTGATTTGCAGCTTCCCAGGAAACGTTCGCCGGGATTTCCCATCACATCGGCGGCATTGCCATGATACATGTGCAGAACAGGAGTGGCCAGGGCTGATGGTATTGGGAGCTGCCGTGCTTTGGGGTTGCCTGCCAGGATGAATTTAAGACTGTCGAGGGTTAAACAACAGCAGACCCTGATAGGTACGTGGTACACAGGGTGGTTGTAAGGTGCATCCTGTTCCTGGCCCCATGGCCGGCGGTTTTCCCACAGATATATTTTATAAGCCCAGGGTTTCCAGAAAAGTTGCCATGAGCATAAAGAAAATAATTTTCAAGTGAGCAAACTGGAATTCTAAGCGGATTATTGGGTAGAACATTACACATTTCAGTAGGCACAGTTTGATTGTTTAACTGTATCAACTCACAAATTTGTAATCATGAATTAATTTAAGAGCTGTGCCTTCACTACCAATCCATGACATGTTTCAAAGAGCCGAGGAATAAAGGGAAATACCCCAAAATTTAAAATACTACAGCTGTAATACATGGATTAATATATGCTAACAAGGTGATAGTCTGTCAGTATATTGGCAAGCTGACTTCACAGTGACAGATAGTTTTCCCAGTCCATATTTTAAGTTACATACTATTATGAAAAATACAGGGCAAGTAGTAATCAGGACAAAATCAGAAACCATGAAGCCTAATTTAAAAATTAGGTGAGCAAGATATAAAAAGAATTTTACAGCTTACTCTTAACTGCAAATATTGCATAATTTTGTAGTACTACTGTAATACAATAGAAGTGGAAAGAATTCACATGGACTAAAAACAGCAGGTTTTTGTCGTTTGGATCCAGACATCAGCATAGGTATTTTCTATCCAAACTTTCAGGTACACAAATCAGTTGCATGTGTTCCAGATTACAGTGTTCCATCTTAAATTTAAAAAAGCCTTTTTAAAATTAAACCAGAAATTGTGTTTACTACTTTGTTTCCTAAGGAGTTCACATAAACAATGCAGCCCCATTACCTTTTATTAGGTTTGCATGGACAGATTTTGGTAGTAAGAGCTCTACAGGGGCACCTTCTGTGAGAAGCTGCCAGAAGCTTCCCCTGTGTCCCACAGAGCTGATGTCAGCCAGCTCCAAGACAGACCTGCTGCTGACCAAGGCTGAGCACCAGCAGCAGTGGTGGTAACACCTCTGGCATAGCAGATTTAGGAAGGGCCACGGTGCTAAATGCAGCAACAAATTCCAGTCAGATAATCCTGAGCAACAGAAATTGCAGTCAGATAGAGGAGTGAGCAGAGCAGCTCTGCAGACACCAAGCTCAGTGAGGAAGGAGGGAAGCAGGGGCTACAGGCTCTGGAGCAGAGATTCCCCTGCAGCCCCAGGCGCAGACCATGGTGAGGCAGCTGTGCCCCTGCAGCCCAGAGAGGTCCCTGGTGAACCATCCACCTGCAGCCCCTGGAGGAACCCACACCAGAACAGGTGGGTGCCTGTAGGAGGCTACGCTCCCATCGGGCCTGTGCTGGAGCAGACTCTTGGCAAGACCTGTGGAGAGAGGAGCTCACACTGCAACAGGTTTGCTGGTAGGATTTGTGACTCTGCAAAGGACCTAGCCTGGAACAAGTGGTTCCAGGAACAGGGTGCACCCCACGGAAGGAACCCACACTGGAGCAGTTAATGAAGAACTGCAGTTTCTGTAAAGTACCCACACTGGAGAAGTCAGATACTTCCTCCTGGGAGGAAGTATCCCATGCTGGAACAGGGGGAGAGTGTGAGGAGCCCTCCCTCCAAGGAGGAAAGAGCAGCAGAGACAATATCTGATGAACTGACTGCAACCTCCACTCACTCATACCCCCTGCACCACTGGAGAGGAAGAGGTAGAAAAGTTGTGAGTGGAATTGAGCACAGAAAGAAGGAAGGTGGTGGGGAAAGGTACTTTAAGATTTAGGTTTAGTTCTCATTATCCCACTCTGATTTCATTGGTAATAAATAAATTAATTTCTCCAAGTGGAGTCTGTTTTGCCCTTGACAGTAATTGCTGAGTGAGCTCTCCTTGTCCTTATTTCAACCCACAAGCCTTTCCTTATAGTCTTTCTCCCCTATCCAGGTGAGGAGGGGAGACACAGAGCAGTTCTGACTCCTGCATTTTCTAGTAAAATGCACTAAATAATTAGATTTTTCCACTTCAAGCCCCTGGGGTCATTTATTAGTAGCAGATAGCATCCTATAGTGTAGCATATGGCTTTGGAGCCCACATGGATATGTGTACATGGCAGGACAATACAGGAAGCATTAAAAAACTATGGCATGCATTTCCCTCCCACTTTAGAGTTAGAAACATCTGCACAGAAGGTTAGAGAGGAGATGAGTAATATCACATCATACTAAACTGACTTAACACAAAACATCATTGAGCCTTCTTTCACAAAATTCAGTAGTTTTTAATCACAATAATTTTCATGGGCCCAGTATATGTATAAATTACAAGTTTACAGAGGCAAAGCAAACCCTACTGTACAGACTGAGATTTTTCCCATCCTCGTTTGCTATTTGTACAGTAGGCAAGCACACAAATGCCTTGGAGATTTTGAAGTATTTCCAAATAGGAGGTTGACCTTGCTATTTCTTTCAGCCAGAATACATTTCAACTCAGTTTGCCATATGCCAAGTGTTTGTTCATACAGCTGCTATTTGTTACACACCCCCACCATGTGCCTCAGTGGGGATTTTATCTCCTTATCAGAATTTAAAGTTCTCTCATCATTGTATCTAAACTCAGCTTTTTATGATAAAATTTTCCCATATGTTCCCTCCATGCTATTGTAGCCCCAGACTTAACTAGTAGTTAGCTTAGTGTAGATTACTCATATAATACAAAAAAAAAAAAAAGCAGAAGAGGAGAAATAAGTAATTTCTTATAGGTGTCACTAAGGAAAAGCTGGATAGGTGTCCTTGCTCCATACAAAATGGACCAATTCATAGGATCCAACCAATATCTACATCTTAAAGATCATTTCAATGGAAAGTTAAAAAGCATTTGTAAATAACTTTCTCAGTATGTACTTATCCTTTCAGCACAACTATTAGAAAGCAGAGAGTTGAAGCTTGAAATAGCCCACCCTAATCTAGACATAGATCACCACATCCCACAGGAGTCAAAAATGCTACCAGTAAAGGCATCTGCAAGCAGGTGCTGAAGGACTACACTCCCAAGATGCACTCACATAACTTGCACATCAATGTAATACTGTATTGGAAAGTTCCAGCACAGCTCAGGTCTGATGTAGAGCTAGACAGATTCCTGCTTTTCTGTGAAGTGTTGTGGGGTCTTGGATTTTCAGAGCTGTGTTATGATCCCAAGGTCTTCATCAATCCTCAGATACTTTCCACTTGCACGCTCCTTGAGTGCCCAGTCATGGAGGAGGCTGTAATCATAGTGCTCCTCATCCACTCGTTTTAGAAATGCCAGTCCAGAAATGGCCTGCCACTCCCTGAGAGATGGGATACGAATTTCCTTTACATTCTCACTTCCTGGGACAAAGCCAAAGAACTTCTTCACATTCTGCATGGCATAGAGCCTGGAGTGCTGCTCTGTTGCCTCATCGAAGAGCTCCTGCTCATTGTGGACATAGCTGTTCCAGTATCTGAAGTGTAGAAAGCTGAGCGGGGAGAAACAGCTTGCCAGGCAGTAAGAAAGGAACACAGTGATGACTACCACAGCAATCAAAAGCCAGCCAGCCACCTTACCAAAAGAAAAAAAAAACTGTTAGACCTGAAAATACTCACAGTGGTAACTTTTGAGCACCGGAAAATTCATAAGATTAACTTTACTTGCTTTTCCTAAATAATAGCATTAACAAGGTATAAGCCTGAAAAGCATCTGCTACCACCAAACCCAGTCCATCTCTACTGGAGGCAGCTATGTTGTAAAATCTCTTGTTCCTTTCAAGTTCAAAAAAGTTCTGTTGTGCAGTTCTAAGACTATTGCTTTCTCAGCTATTATTGTTATAAAATAAGATGCAGGTTCTAGACTATATAAGCTTATAGCCTGTTTCAAAAAATTTTCTCTGAAGTGACAACTTAACGCTTCTCCGATTATTTACCCAGTATGCAAACTTTTAGAATTGAGTCTGATCTAAACTCCCAAGATTTTACATGAGTTCACATGAAGCTCTCACAGCCTGGGCCTCTTAGTCATGTTTCTTCTACTTTAGTGAAGAAACTTCATACCCTCCCTGGCTCTTAAACTTCTATTTGTTATACTTGGTATTACTTTTCAGGATACTACACAGGGAAGAACACATCCTCAGGCAGCAGGTAACAAATGGGACAAGCAGATATAGTAATTTATATACCTAAAGTTAAGCTCCACTTAAAAGAAAAGCACATGCTTCAAAACACAGAGATTTAGCACTCAAGACAGGACACTGATCTTGTTTTATGTCTGCTGAATTAGCTTCACCTCCTACCATCAAGTTTTCAGGCAACGGAAGTTACTCACTTGTGACTGGTATCGGAGGAGGAGAATCACTTCATCTCTTGCTCGGGTCAGCTCTGGAGGAACCAGCTGCCTGCAGGGAAATGTGGCCAATATCCTGCTGCGTTCGCTAGCGGTAACATTAGGAGCAGCTCCGTAATAATACCCAGGGACGTACTCGCTCACAGCACAGATATAATATGAGCCATTTATCAGGGTGACTGCAAGCCATGTGACTGGAGCAACCAGTGCCCTCCCTGTGATGCTGCACAGGACAAAGCAGACTAGTTTGCATTTCAGCAACCAGTTTGATGAAGTACCCCTCTCAAAATTAGACCTTTTACCCATAACCAGTCTCCAAGTCTGGTTGTTCAGGGCATAGCCAACAATGAGAAGGATTAGTGCAGGCACTCCTAGGAAAGCCAGCCCATAGATAAGGTTCTGCCCAACGTGACAAGGACAGCTGAATGTGAAGAAAGAGAAAAGTTGCTGCCCACCAATTGTCAATATTGCAATTATTGCATTAGCAATAACAACCTCTTTGCCTTTTAAAAAAGTTAACCACTTTGGAAGGAAAGTCATTTTAGATCCAATTCTTTACCAGATTATTTTGATTTAAGCAAGTACTAGGTTTTAGCTATATTTAACTAGTGTTAATGGCAGAGCAGAATAAACAGCAACAGCTTGAAATGAATACCACCAAACAACACCCAAAAACCCCCTACTAATGTTCTCCTCCCACTAATTTTCAGTGGCTTGTTTGCTAGCTTTAAGTATGCTTGCAGACATCCACTGATGTGTTTTAATTGATTCAGTAATTTATCTCAGCTGTCTGGGAAAAATTGAGCTTTTAGGCTGTTGTGAGCTCTGCCAGCCCATTGCTAATTGTCTGAAATTAACAATAAATTCTCCCTACCTTTTGGATGACATGCAGTGCTATCAAACTGATGGCTAACCTGTCAGGGTTAATTGCCAAGCTGTTTGCTAATCAACAGTAATTACCAGAAACATGGCATGAAACTAGGGAAAAAAAAAAAAAAGGAGCCTTCCAGCTATTCTTCATAAGAGATCATCCAAACAAATCCTTGGCAAATGGACTGGTTTAAAAAAAATGAATGCTTCAACTTTAAAATATTCCATAAGCTACACAATATTTAGAATCAGTGCTATTTGCATTTGAGGTCCATTCTGGGGTAATTCAAGCACTAGAGTCTGAGAAGTAGTTAGCTGCTGGTTCACTAGGATTTTAGTGTTTCCCCTGTAGGTGGCAAGAAGCTGTCATGTCTCTTTTCATGACAGTGCTGAATGTTTCCTTTGGAAAGTTGGTTGCGCTTTTTGTTTTGGTTTATTGGTGGGTGGGGTTTTTTGTTTGTTTTTTGTTTGTTTGTTTTGTTTTTGTTGGGGGGAGGGTTGGTTTTTTTTGGTTTTTTGTGGGTTTTTTTCTTATATATATATATATATATAAAATCTGCTATTCACAAACTGTCAAACCAGCTGGTATTTATATAGTGTGCTTGTGATTACGAGTTCTAGGCTTTTCTGCAAGTATAGTCAGTCCTATTCCATGGACAGAGATAAAAATTTTTCAATTAATTAAGCATTTCCACAGCTGGCTTTTGGATATTGGGATAGATGACCTAGGCTCTGAGCATCTCTCACAAATCAAGCCTTAATCAGGGGTCTGAATAATTGAAAACATTTCACTCTTGATGATTATCTCTGGATTGCACTTTTTCTATGGTCACACTACCCAGTAGTTCTATGCATTGCATAACCTAGGCTGATCTGAATATGCAAATATTTGTGTTTAAAACTGAAAAGTCTGACAGTCTGTCATATAAACATTCTTACTAAGAAAAGAAAAAAAGTAAAGTTAGCCAGAAAGTTTATGGGGAAATTTGCCTTCCCATTACAGATATCTATCTCCAGCATGTGTGGACTTGGTTGTGTGATATAATAGTGTCTGCACAGCCTATTCTCTCCCTTTGCAGAGAAGGTTGCTAATAATAAATTTGACCTCAAACAGCGGTTTTAGCACCCATGGTGTCTGCTTGGATGGCAGAGACAAGGATGACATGTTACACATGCCTTGCCTGTTCACTTAGGCAGGACCCTGTTCCTCCAGTGCACTGTTAGGGTGGACACCTGCTTGTCTCATCTGGGACGCAGGTCCTTGCAGGTAACTGGCTCTCAAGCAATGTGACACTGTTACACAAAATTAAAAGCAGTACAGAAACATTCTGAAACATCCAGCAGCGCTTTGTTACAGCTTTTCTGGAACTTGTTACATTCTTAGTTGTTGAGACAGAGTAACAGCGCAATGAAATCCCAGAGCTGTCTGAATATTGCCATTTTAAACCTTCATTTTCCTTCAGTATCACAGAATTTTCTGTAACTTTTTTTTTGTACTAGTGACATTATATTAAAAAAATAAATCAGTGGAATAAACCTATCAGGCTATTACAAAATCATTTTATAAGAGTCTTCCTCAGTTCATTTTAAAATCTCTGATTGATTCCTTCTGAGATTTCTTTTGGAACCTGTATCTTATTTTGTTTATAAGGGAGGAAGGCTCTCCCAAGCATCTCTTGTTTACTCAAGAAACACATTAGATGTGAAACTGAAGTAGTATCCAACACTGAAATATTAATAGTCAGCCTAAGGCTGTTGAATGAGACAATTTATACAATCAATACAACAACTTTGTACTTCTGCATTTTCAGTCTTTGGCATTTGCTGTCATGTTCTGCTGTAAATGATACTGCTGGGTCATCCTATTATGGAACAAATTACAGGGTTGGATCCAATTAAGAGCTTGGGTGGCACATCAAACCTTTAAGTACTTCCCTTTGCAGAGGAACCCAGGATCCTGAGGCAGACATTTAGGCTCTTTATCCAATTCCAAGGAAGAGTTAGGACTGGGTGCAATCCAAAATACCACTACCTGAGGTGACAGCTTGCTGGCCTGTGAAGCAAAAAAATGCTTATAGCTGACATCTGAGGCAAATAGGATCCATGAACAAACCTTAGTCACAGTTTTGTTTTCATATTGCAGGGCTCCATCAGCTTGAACTCACTGCCAGTAACTGCACTTATGAGGAGAGATTTTTATATTTTTCTAAGGCATGAGAATCATTTGTCATTTCTTTTAAAACATGGTTATTGGAATAGAGATTTCACCTTCCCATACACACACAGAAAACAATTTTTATTCTCCTTTTTATTGAAATAAAGCAATCATGGCAGAATAGAGAGATTGGTTTCAGCTCCCTTCTCTACCTGATCTAGTAAAAACTCATCTTTTTCTTCCACTAACTCAGTTATTATTAGTGATGAGATGTGACTGTACTGCAAAGAGGCTGTGTTCTCCAGCTTTCCTGCCATAATTCAACTCAACTAAGTTGTGCTTAGTTTCGCCACAGAGAGGATTTTGATATTAACTGGATCAAAAAAAAGACCAGGATTTTATCTAATGGCCAGGGAAAGGTAGGGAGGAAGAGGGATCTTCTATTTTTCATCTGAAGTTTGGAGGAGGAGACTGAATCCTAGTCTCTCTGGTCCTCTGGTCCTGCACATGTTTTCATCACCAAGTTAGCAGCTGAAAGGCCGATGTTTTGTGGCTCCTCTAGCTACATTTTGAGTTCTATTTTGCAAGGATGACAAGCCCACCTGTGCCTGTTAGAAAGCACAGTATGAAAGTACCAGACATCCTGTGGGACTAGAGGGGGGCACTGCCCATGTCTTGTGATCTGCCCGGTAAGAGCAGCAGTCACACTGGACTTCTAGTAAAAGCATTCATGTGTGATATGAGAAACCTGTGTTCAAGTTCTTTTTTTCACATAGCTTCAAATCCTCAACATCTACCTTCTTGTGATTTGAAGGAGCTCTATTTTCTGTCAGAGAAAATTTAATACAAGATCTAGTCATCTGAAAAATGGAGAGCAAACAAAAGCTTGACCTTGTATTTTACTAATTTGGACACTTGCCTTTTTTGGTTTATGCATTCTTGTTTTAGGTCAAATAATTTTTTCACTTTTTTTCTTTTTTTGGCTTTCTAATTGGGCAATATCTATTTTATTATTTACTTTTATGTTGTACTTATCATGTACTTACCTCTACAGGTATCAGCTTTCCCATAATAGCCAGTTCATTGCAAGAGACAGTGCTGGTGCATGCTTTTATTTGTGCTTTTGAGCTTTGGGGTATATTTTTTATTTGGTTTTTGTTATTTAGTTTGATGGGAATTAAGAGAACTGATGTATTCTAATGTTTGAGCACTGTGAAGATTGACCTTGGGTCTGAAGGCTAAATTTCTCTCCTGAAAAACAGGACAGAAAGGGAAGTGGAGGGTGATTCTAACTTTCTCACTATTCCAATTGCCTTGAATTACTTCTAAGAAGTATATGTCCAGGATTAAAACAGGTTACAAATGTGTGCCTACCTCTACTCTTTTCACGGGGCTGCAAGACAATCCCCCAAGGACTTATTTCCCTGTTTTTGAGCCACTGAATCCCCAGTTTATTTGGACACACCATTTCTGCTTAGTTTTCTCAATAATGTGCAAACCTCTTGAAATGCAGTATATTCTACTCAATACATAGCAATATATGTGTGAATTTACTTGTGTGCATGTGGCCATGTCTGTATTTTTCAAAGAATGTTGATGTGTCCTTGCCATGCATTGCACTGTCTGTGCACAGGGTTCCCACGTGATTATGATATTAATAATGCAGGCTGAAATAATTAATCCATATATATTCTGAACCAGATAAATAGACTTGTGCTCATTTATAAGTAGTCTTAAAGTGTTTTGTGGTGGGTTCACTAAAGTTGAATTAGGCTAATTATATTATTTTACATTTTTTGTTTGTTTTTTGTTTGTTTGTTTGTTTTTGTTGTTGTTGGGTTTTTTTTAATGTAATGCGGTAACTTTCTTGTGGAATATGGGATTATTATTGTGGGACATATTTAGTGCTTGTCACCAGTTGGAGACAATCAGAGAAACAAACCCGTCTCAGACTCAGTTTAGAAATTCAAGTGACTATCTAGAGAATTGTAATGCCTGGCTTTTAAGATTTATTAACATTAAGATATGAGAAGTACCTACAATTGTTTCACTTATAAAATGGAATAAGGTTTTACAGGTTCAGAAAGGCACCTTAAAAATGGAAGAGGCAATTACATTGTAAAATTGTCAATACAAGTTCATTCTGTGTGAAATAAAAGCAGTTAGGATGACTGAGCTTTAAAAAGAAAAAGCTGAAAATCCCTATTTTTCCTGGTTGAATTTAGTCATAACTTTAAATGACCATTTTTAAAAATAAACTAATCTTCCTTATCCCAAATGAATCATATCTGAATGCCTTCTGTGTATCTATAGTAGTAAACATCTGTAATTTTATTCTAGCACTGGATCTATTAGTTAATAGAAATTTAATAACAGCATGGCATTCAGAGGAGGCAATATATTTTTGTTTCCTTTCCGAGAGTTGGAGTGTATGTGCAGGTAAGTCCTATAAGGAATGACAACTACCTGATTAATTTCTAAATTCACCAGTGGCCATGATTGAAGTTTGTTGCAAATCAAAACTAACACATGGGCCAAATTTACCACAGGTGAAAACAGATAAACTAAGCCTGGATGTTCATTGCAAGGATATTAAGAAACAGGGGCTATAACAGGTTAAAAATGGTGGAATACCCCCTAGGAACATGGTTAATGAAAGTGCCATTTGCGCAAGCTGGCAGCTGGACAGGTACAGAATTTATTCCTCTGGGAAGCTGAGTTCTCTCAATCTGCCCTGGCAGCTTTACACAAACATGGTGGAAGTAGTGCCTTAAAAGCCACATTTCCCTAACTTAGGCAAATATTAACTCACCAGACTACAGCAGCCAAAATTGGCAGACTACTATATCTTCTTTAGATTGAAAACAATCAATTTTTATTTTCCTTGTACAGCAGCACCTTGCAATTGTGTTTTTATTCTTTTGAGCAGAAGTTTTTGTTATCTCTCCAAACACCAAAATCTGATAGAAGCAACAAAATAAATTTACTGTCCCTAAAAATATAAGGCCTGTTCTGTTTGACTTCTGCATATTTGATTACAAACCATTCCTATGGACACAGTGATTATTTATGTTGTGGACAGTGCCAGATCTGTTGCCAGTCAAATTCCTCCCAAAGGGCTCGGTGCATTTAGAGAATAATAGGAGGAGCATCAGCAGCATTACAGACTGCAGCAAACACATCTCATGCAAAAGACAGAAGAGCAGAGAGGAGAAAAGAGAAGAGAAGAGAAGAGAAGAGAAGAGAAGAGAAGAGAAGAGAAGAGAAGAGAAGAGAAGAGAAGAGAAGAGAAGAGAAGAGAAGAGAAGAGAAGAGAAGAGAAGAGAAGAGAAGAGAAGAGAAGAGAAGAGAAGAGAAGAGAAGAGAAGAGAAGAGAAGAGAAGAGAAGAGAAGAGAAGAGAAGAGAAGAGAAGAGAAAGAGGATTGAGATAAAACTGTGCTGCTTGAGGAAGAAAAGCTATAAACTGACAAGCAAATACATCAGGAGTTATACGAGCAGCATGTCTCGGTCACCAGGAAGAAAGCAAGAGAACCACAAAATAGTAAGATATTTTTGTAATGTGTTATTAAAATTGTGTATGGAGTAAGAATGACTTATTATTCTATAGATGCATTTTATACACTCCTATTTCTGAACAATTTAAAAGTACTGAAAGGATAGGGATAAAGTTGGTGGTACAAGAGCAGAGCTGCAGGCAGCATTTATGGCTACTATTCCTATTGCTGGGATTCTGTACAGACTTGGGAAAGAGGGGCACAAAGTTTCTGAGACTCCAGTCTATTCAGAATCAGAAGTCTAAGTGCTTCAAGTGCTTATGGTCTAAGATATAAATTCCAGGTAAGTTTATGTACCTCTGTGGTTAGATGGTCATTCAATGAATCACAGAGAGAAGATCTCTGTTCTAGGCTTGAATGGTGCTATTCTACACAAACCTTTCATCAGGAGTTTAGAGCCTTTGGGCTTTCTCTATGGTGAATGGTGATTTTTGACAGGAACTGGGCAGTGGAAAAATTCCAGAAGGATTTAAGACAAAATTGTATCAATTTTTGAAAAGAGGACAGAGGTCTCCACTGAGAAATAAATGGAAGAGTGTAATATAGTTGCAGTTAATATACCTAAGTTTATGGTCAAAAAGTATTCCAGTGGATTGCAAGTGTGGCTGATAAATCCGATTACATTGATATATTATGCTTAAGTTTCTCTGAGGTAATTTTCTTGTTGCAACTGAGACTTTTTGCTGAACAATAATAACAAAACAATAGAGGACTTGTATGACATCCATTTACTCCATTGAAAACTTGTTACTGAGAATTTGGCCAAGGGTACAATATTATTTTAAACAAGAGTTGTCACTAAAATGATTTTGGAAAATGGTTCTGATTAAGGTTTTGAACAGTGACTTGTTAAAACAGCAACACTGATGAAACTCCAAACATCTGATGCAAAGGGAGCAGAAATAAATCTTTCCACCTAGCTGTTCTTACTTTGCTAGCGTGATTTGTTCTGTTATTTTATTGGTATTCACTATTTTTTTTTTTTCCACAGGCTAGAGACCAAAAGCAGCTCTGGTCTGGCCACATGCCACAGGGCTGTAGCACTTTAATTAATTCCTGTCCAAGAAGTTTAGTAAGAATCAACTCAATCTCTCACTAAAAGGACAGCTGCTACTCCTGCTAAATACAGACAGTTCTGCAGTGCATGGATGTGATCTGACAGGGCAGGGAGAGAAGGACACTCTCCTCCAAATTGTTGCACACCTGAAGACCCCACAGTAGTGCTTGCACCAGGACCTGTGCAGAGATGTACCTTTGGCATCTTCAGTTGCTCTCCATGTTCCTTGGGCAAGGGGTTACAATCCTCACCATCCCCTTCTTCTTGTTGTTATTCTTTACACTTGTTCTGATTTATAGTATTTTTTCATTACTCTGAACTAAATTTTTATCTACTTTTTAGTCTTTTAGAGAAAGCAGCTAATAATTTGAATCAGACCAACCCTACCTTTGTGAACTGTTGTGCTAAATACAGAGGAAGTAATAGCTCATTGTCTCTTTTCCTGCTACTGTCATTATTCTTGGATGGCACTTGCCAGCATTTGTCAATCCAGCTTACATACACTCAAGATGCAAGAATTACTGATGACATTAACTCTGAGTATACCAAGAAATGGTATTTCTAACAACCAAAATCCCTTACAAACTCACGTGAGGATCAATATAGATTCTGTCATGCTTGAAATGTGGATTTCAATGATTATGCATCCATGGATAAAAATTTATTTATTTTTTAATGAGCAGCAGCTTAAAAAATGGTAGAGTTGGATTTTAGCTCACTTCATTTTTTATTTTCTTATTTTCTGACAGAGCAGAGAACTTTTTGTCCTCACATATGGGGCTTTGGTAGCCCAGCTGTGCAAGGACTATGAAAAAGATGAAGATGTCAATGCCTGTTTAGATAGAATGTAAGTAGTGCTTTAAATGTTCAGTTTTATCCATCATGGTACTTGTTTACATACAAATTACCTTTCAGCTTTTTTTTTATTATCTCACAAGTTCCAGCATTCTGTCTATGGTTACAGAGAAGACAGGGAAAAGGTTCAATATTCTGCCAACAGAAACAACACTAATTTGTGCATTAAGATCAACAATTAGCTTTTTAATTCTCTGAGGAAATACGTCAGGATTGTTTTCATAGCTTACTCTTGCTCTTTGCTGATGTTTTAGTTGTGCTAATTATTAATATAATCTAAAATTTATATCCTATATCCCTCACTCTGTCAGGGGCAAATGAGCCTCTCACCTTTAAAAGACCATACAGCAATGAGTGAGATAACACAAAATGCAAATGAAGGTGGATTTTTACATGGATAAAGTCCTTGGAAAATGAAGATCCAATGTTTACAAACCCTGTCATCCTGACTGAGATTCCTGAGCATTACTACCATAAAAACAATACAATGGAGAATCAACAAGAAACAACTTTTTAGCTGGTCAGCAAGAACATATAGTAAGGCCTTTGTCAGAACAGTAAGGCTTATATTTCTGGGCAAAGTGAACATGCAAAATTGCATTACAAAAATCACAGAGGACAGAATACCCTGACCACTTTACTATTAACCTGAAAGTTTGCAAACTAGCAGTAGTCCAATAACTATCCATAGAGTAAACTAAAAAAAAAAAAAAGTATCATTGTTTGGGAAAAAGAAAAGGAATTTATTCATAAACTTATGAGGGATAAAATCCCTCAGATACTGTTTTTATATTCATCTCTCATTCAGCTCTGGTGAAAATCATACATATAAAATATGCCCAGGCTTCTTCAGTGATGCCATGGTAGAATTTACTAGAGAACAGTTTTGGAAGATGTGGAGACAGATTTTCCTCCTTATGTTTTCATTATTGTAGTTGTTTCTATAAAATCTTTTTGTTTTGAGGAAGAGTTGATAATATAATGACAGGTTTCATTAAAACAATGTTCTTTACTTCTGTGATTATGAAAAAGCCCAGTTTCACAAAGAAACCTCACATCTCATCAGACCTGTGACACGTGGGGACAGCGTACTTACCTCTCTCTCTGTGTACATATATAGTCTGTAGTGAGAAGGGTGATTTTCACTGTACAGTTGCCAAGTAGCTGCTTACCAGTCTATTATTAATTTGACTTCACAAATCTAGGTCATAAAAGTTGAAATGTATCTAAGTAGTCTCGTATGTCACTAATACATACCTTGCTAAATTATGATGACACATTTGCCAATGTTATTGATACTAACACTTAGGCAATAGATAAATATTTAATTGTTTCTAGACACATGACATACTGCAATTTTAATCTTCACCCTTCCAAATCCACATTTTTGTCTCATCATCAGCTCACTGTTTGTCTTCTTGCCAAAGATGTTGTACACAGACCAGTAAGAAACTCCACTGAGTTCAGGCTGCTCCACTGAGGATGTAAGGCCTCCAACAAAAAAGTAGAGACTGCCAATATCCACATAACTGGGAATAAAGAATTTCCTAAAAACATTTCTGAGCCGAGTACCTATTCTTGCAAGATGTTTGTGTCAATGTCTTTCCATTTTTCAGAAAATGTTTGGAGTCACAGTTGTTTTGCACACTAAGAAGTTATTGGCCTTTGTTAATGTGTCAGAGCTAGGAATGAATAATTGGTTTATAGCAATTCCATTACCTTCCATCCATTTTTGTTTGTTTTTTAAAAAAGTTGTAGTATTTTATATACAAAATGGAAGTGGCAGTACACAAAACCTCTGGGTTTGTTGCGGTTATGAGTGATACAGGGACCCTAGGCGGGTACAAAGGAATGCTTCTTATTGCCAAAAACCCAGCCTTTTTAAGCAGTTAGCCTGTTACCAGTTTACAGTTTATAGTTTTAAGGCACAGCAAGCCTAAGTCAACCAACCACCGTGCACCATGATGTGGACATGCTGCGGACATGCGTCAGTCACGCAGTGCGTCTCACGTCTCTCACGTCTCTCATGTTTCTCTACCCTTATTCCAGCTGAGCACTCTCCCATAGTTCCCTTCTACTTAGCCTAAGTAACAGGCTGGAGCCATGTTACAAGGCCTTGCCTTTATAAAGCCTTACCTATCAGTAACATGTGTTAACTAACAACTTTGGGATTTTTTTCTGTCAACTAGTTAGATGAAGGGAGATAACATGTTAGAAAAAAAAAAGACAAACAGGTAATTGTAATGGAAGAGTGAAAAATGAGGTGAAGAGGTAAGAGGAGAAAGAGATCAGGTGTGAGTGCATTTCCTGTGGCAGCTGAAAGCTGCAATGAGGTGCCCAGGATTGGTGTCTATACGTATAGACAATGTACAAACTGTGTAGACAATTCATATCGTCCTTGCCAGGACTATCATGCTTAAAGAAGTATGATTCCGTAAATGACTACATGAACAGCAGTCCCACTGTGCTGTAAAATGTGGTAGAAAGAAGAAAGTAGACCAGCAAAATGTGTTGTCACTAAAGTCCCTCAATTAGGATCATGCAGCTGTTTTGCTGAGGAAGCACAAGAGATGCATTAGGGAGATGGCAGGTGGAAAAAAGTTCCCCATTTTAAATGTTGCCTTTCCTTGTTTCCTCCTCAGGGGATACAGCATCGGCATAAGGCTGATTGATGACTTTTTGGCCCGTTCAGCTGTGAAAAAGTGCCGTAGTTACTCTGAAACTGTAGACATGATTGCACAGGTAAATAAGATTTGCATTTTCTAAAATGTCATCAGATTCAGTGATCTTAGCTTAGAATCATATATTCCCTTCCTTTTTTCTCTTCCTAGGAGCATGTCTTAACTGTCTCATACAGATGTTAAACTTCGATATTTTTACTTCTGCCATTTGACTCTTCTCATCATCACCATAATTACCTTAGATATCTTTTTACTTTAAAATGTTAATATTAAGAATAAGCTGCAGGATTTTCTGCAAAATGAAAAAGCTCAGTGGTAGCAAAGAAGAACTGTAAGAAAGGAAAATAAGAGGAACGTTTTTGTGACTACACACAAATCTAATTATAAAATCAAAAAGATAAAACCAGAGCATGTACTTTCACCTACTTTGATGGAAATTTCCCTTTTATTGAGTAGCTGTTCACACTTCTGTCAGACAAGAAAGACACAGGTCTCTAAACATGTACTTCTGCCCCCATTGGCAAGTTAGAATTCCAAGGAATTTCAAAGAGAAATTTAAATAAGAATACATAACAAAGTTCCTCCTGGTAACAGCTGAGCTGGGGTAGATGATCCATTGGAAATGATGAAGACAGCTGAATGAAACTGATGAGACAAGCAGCATTTCAATCACTGTTTAAAATACACTGCCTCATTTTAAAAAGTGATACCAGGCTGCAAAATCACATTTTTGTCCACTTTTACATTTTTCTCCAGGTGATATTGGTACTTTATTTTCAGATATATGTCAGATAACTGGTTTTCTGGGTCTTATTCCTCATAGTTCCCTTCTTTACAAATGCATTATTACAGTTGAAACTTCAATCTTAAGTACATGCTATTCAATGGCAAAGTACAGTGAGAAATTAACAATGGAAAAAGACACTATTTCTCTGCAGCTTGTACTTCCAAAGAGACTTATTAAGAGAAGTAAAAAATTACTTGGAAAGGTTAGAACAAACATTAAAGCACACACTGTCCTTTTGAAAGATTGTTTTTAGCAAACAAAAAGGAGTTGAGTAGTAGGAGTAAAACATTTCTGAGGCAAAATGTGATATGGACAGCATTTTCACATTTCTTTGGCAAAACAATTTTTAAATAATCTTCAAGCACGTTTGTCTGAGACACATACCAACAAAACGTGTCTAAAGTGACCCAGTAAGAAGTTGCAAATACTCTATTAAACTTTCTAGTTCAGAATTATGAAACTGTTTACATGATCCCCTTAACTCTTCAGCAGGAGTGTTCCCAGCCAGGAGAAAGTGCTTAAATACTTAACTGTATTAGGTCTTCGGAGGATGTTTGAGGATGAGTAAAACCAGTTTGAAATTAAAGTAATTAAGACAGTTAAGCAATTCAAGTAGTAAAAGCCAAACCTCCTGTTAACATAGCTATTATCCTTCAATTCTTTGGAAAACAAAGAAGTCTGTAAGATCAGGCTGTGGATGTTCCCTGTGGAAATGGAAAGAGATGAAGCAAAAGAAAAAAAAAACAAAAAACAAACAAATATAAAATGAGGGCTACAAAGCCAGTTTCCCAGATTAAGAGATAAATACTGGAGGAAAGGTGCACCTAAAGCAGTCAGTGACTGGGAGCTTAAAACTTCCACCGATGGTTCAGATTGCAAAGCCTGGGCTTTAATGCTAATTTATAGTGGCCTGGAAAAAGGCCAACAAGTTTTGACACGGAGCCAAAGTGAACCCTTCTACACTGAGTTCCCATGGTGTTCACTGTCTTCTCATGTTGGTCCTGTGACTTGGCAGGGTTGCAGTTGGGATTGAATTAAAAAGAGACGAAACAAGACATGTAAAATTAGGCTTTCTGGCAAATTGAGATAAAAAATGGAAATCAATTGAGGAATGATATTAAGGACAAAACCCAGCTAAAGAAGTAATGTCCAAGATGGCATTCTGAATTTGGATCTGAATATAACTGAGAATTACTTTTGAAATTACGTTGATAATTTTTGTCTCTCTTGCAAAATCAAATTTTTAATTAAATTTCTCCTCAAAGGACTTGATGTAATTGATCTGATCAAATGAGTTGCAAAAAACAGCTTCTGAGTTTAGATCTGATGTTTATATTGCCTTCTCTAGCACTAGGAGTTATTTGTGTGTGCCAGGGGTGGAAGCCTGACTACAACCTCTGGTCCAGAGCAAGCTGATGCTGGTTTACAGGCTCTTCTGCTGGATTAAGCAGTGCTGTGCCTGAGGATAGATCTGTTCCTGAAAAGCAGTGGCTGCAGAGATGGGCTTTATTGTGGACACTGAGTACCCTGTGAATGCAGGAAATTAACATCTCTGGACCTCTTTGAGGAGAGTTCCTGGGGTGAGGGGTGGGGGGTGGGTGGGAAATAACAAAGGATGGGGTAATCCAACCATGTCACCCGTCTGTCCAGAGCTGTAGGACAGGAAAAGTCCTTCCCTTGTCATGGAAGATGCTGCCACACAAGGTCCCTCTATACTGACTTATGGCCTGTTTGAAGGTCTGACAGAAGCTGGCAGAATTTATGAAGCTGGTAAATGTTGCTTTTCAGTTCTCAGCAAGGAGAGGACAATGCGTAAGCAGGTTGCTGTGCTAAGGAATACAGCCTACTGAGATAGACAGTAAACAGGACATTGACTCTCACTGTGGAGAGTAAAGAAAAGGTCAGAAGAGAAGTTTGGAATTTGCAACAGATAGCAAGACCTTTAATATATCTTTCTATTTCCAAACACTGACTGGAAAAACACTAAGAATGAAAAGTATGCTAGCAGAAATATTATTTTTGCTGCCTTTCCCCTTTTAAGCAGATGAATTCTGATCCTTCATTAATCTTGCTATTATGCTGCCTGAAATAATGGTTTCAATTTTTTAACAGTCTGTACTTACTTAGTGTCGTGACTTATGCATAAAAAGTTTGGAAGTGAAAAGTCCCCAGCAGTATGTAGAGGGACTGAAAAGTTAGTGGCTTCCTAAATATTTCAGTAATTCTAGGCTGTGTTTGAGCACCACCAAAATGTTAATGATATTTCTACTTGTTGCTTGAGAGAGATGGAATTCTGACTGAGTTTTTGAAAAAGGGCAGAGATACATTTTTAATTCAGACTGCATAGGTCTTATTTTCTCATTAAGCAATATATAATGTCATAGAGTTGCAAATAACATTTTCAAAAGTGAGGTTTTGCTTTATATGGGCATCATTTTGCTGGCCAGCCTATGTACGTGTCTAAACAGATATTCTTGTTTCTTCCATTTCATGGATAAAAGCGAGACAGATTTATGGGATGCAAGTTTTAAACCACCTCATTCATTTTATCTTCTAGTCTTTTGGAGTCAGAAAGACTGAAAATACCTTTGTTTTATCCTCTGAGAAGCTGTAAATGGTAGTTTTAAAGTAGCTGCTGTTCAGTTACAGGCTGGTTTTAAGAAAAAATATTTTATATTAATTGATTTGCTTATCTATGCACTTAAATTATTGTTCCTGCCAAGGCATTTTCATAATTTTCACTTTATAGCTTTGCAATTTTGCTTTAATTTGGTGCTCCATTGCAAACCAGATACTTGTTTTGCATAGTTTCCATTCAAGTTCTCTTTTACACTGGAATTTTTAACAATAAAATTTGGACAGATTCATCATACCATAATGCAAAGTACAGCTGAAACTAAATTGAGGGCATATGAGCGCTTAACATGGTTAAAAAGTCTTTATTCTTATAACAAAGACTTCAAGTTTGATGGAGTAGCAGATGTAGAAGAAGTGGTAAGAGAATTTAAAGACTAAACCGAGGGACAGAGCACAGAGGATTAAATATAAGTTTTCTATTTTCTTGTATGCTCATATTTTAATGGGTATCAGAATTAATGCAAAATCTAAATTTTCCAGCAGAAAATGTTGATCTTGATGTTTGGTTTTATTTATTGGGTGTTTTTCTCTCTCTCCAGTTTGTTTTGGACAGAATTGACAACAGTCTGGCTCTTTCTGAGCTGCTATGGTAGCTGCTGGATTCAGGAACAATGTTGATAGAAAGCAGCTTTTGCAATAGCCCCTTGAAGGACTAAATTTGCCAAATCCACATTCCAGTTGAAAACATAGGGTCAAACTTGTTGTTTTTTCAGATTGTTTTTACAGAAGTATTCTAGGATCCACATGGAAATTGCATTAAGTTACAGGAATTTTGTTAAGATAAAAGAGTCACACAGCCCTGGGAATGAGGATCAGTGAGAGATGGGCTCCTACCAGGCACACATTGCAGCACAAAGTGTTCAGCAGCTGCTCTTGGGGGTAGAAACAGTCTCAACATGAGCTACCTGCAAACATGAAGCAGGCAAGGAGGAGGAGGGGGAAATTCATCTTGGATTTGCCCCTCCACAAAAAAGCAGATAGATAGGACTGGGAAGGGCTGCCATTTCAGATGGCCTGGGCTACTCAGGTGCAGAGCCCTAAGCCTTATTCTGAGGGAAAAGAGGATACCAAAAGCTCTACATGGGATCATTCTGTCCTCCTACCCTTCCCTCTACCAGCTATGCTTTTGCCTCTGTGTCTCAGACATTATATCACACTGGAGGCCCTATCTTTTACATCAACCCACTTGTTTCCCATATTTCTTTGATCAACTTGCTGTCCTCCCCATTGCTTCCCTACTTGCTTTGATTTTCTGAGGGAAAAGGTGGAGAGACAGTTTTGGAAAGGGAAGTTTGGCCCAGGCAGCAGGGCTGTCCTCTTAGGGCATGCGCTATCTCCACTTATATGCAGGGAGGAGGTGAAATGGGGCTGGACAGAAGATGTTGGGGCAGTTCTCATAAAGAAAGATAAAACCAGACAAATAGGAGGGGTCATATTGTCTGGAAGTAGGTAGATGCTATACCAGGAGAGACTCCTGGGGAGGAAATGGTTGGTGTATGTGCCAGACACAGTGTCAGACATCTGCTGTTGTGACTTTCATTTTGGCAGTGTTACATCTGTGCTTTCAGCTGCAACAGGCTCATTTAAGCATATAACATGTTTTAAATGTGCTGCTAAGTGGGTCATCTGGGATGAAAGAACTTTAAAATATTGTCTCAAAGGTCACAAGTTCTTGAAAACATAAGGATAAAATTCTAAGCAGAGAGTTGAATTAGTGCTTGTGTTTTATTTCATAAAGAGTAATGGTCTGTATATAGATGCTTTTGCCTGCTGAAGAAGCCCAATGAGTATGAGAACAGCTGGGCAGGATATCCTGGTTTGTTGAGAAGAGCATGATTCAAGCACAGCAAAGCTATGATTCTTTGCAGACTAGCAGAGACTGGCAATAAAGTGCTGCACAAAAGCCTGCCCAGGGAAAGTAACTTTGTTCTTTTATACAGCATTTGAGAATACTCTGAACACGCTGAGAGCCATGTGATGAATTCCAAGTGGGTGAGGTAAAGCACAGGGCTCTGGGGTGAAATGCATTTGTCTGACATACTGACTGTGCAGTTGCCTCACCAGCTGGTTCTTCTTGCTCCAGACACAAAGTTTTCCTAGGATATTCAAAATATGAAAGTCAGTCTTCTGGAAAAATATTTTCTTGTCTTAAAAAGTGGAATTTCCTTGCAGGCCAGTTGTACACTGGCTGCAGGCTCAGAAACAGCAATATTACATAGTACTACAGGCTGCACACAGTGCCTGAAACTCACTCAAAACTAGAACTTTATATCCATACAAAGAGAAAGTCTAGACTGGGAGCAAATAATAGGGGGATGTTCTACAAAGGCAAAATATCCAAAGACGGAGAAACCTTGAGGGATTCACTGGTGCCTCAAATCAAGGCTGTATCTGCAATTGGCCTGGAAATTACCTGGATGGAAAATCTTTACTTTCTATACACTGTCAGAAAGCCACACATATCTTGTTATTATATTCACACACTTCAAATGACTTTACTTGTTGATGATCTCTAGATTTACATAGGACAAGCATACCATAGCACATTTTGCATAGCATATTGTTAAAACCCTCTTGTAGAAGCCATTATTCCTTTCTTTGTGCTCTTGATGCTGAGCCAGTGACATGAACTCTGGGTGCCACGGAGTACTGCAGCCTTTTCACTTGTGTAGGGAAATAATTTCATTCCATCCTTTTGGAGCAAATATCTAACTGGGAGGAAACATGATGAAGAAGAAAGAGTGAAAAAATTGTGGAAAATTGTGAAAAAATACAGAGATGAAACCAGCTAGAAGTATTCCATATTAACAAGATACAAAAAAACTGAAAATATACTTGGTTTATGGTATTTCCCTTCTGTCTGAAATGTCCAGAATTGTTTCTCTTTCCTCACTGATTCCTTTCTGGCCTTCTTCAACTAGCCTGTGAATTGTGCTATAATGCTGTTTGCTACTGTTGAAAGAGTAGAGCTGGGAAGCATCTTCCCATGCCTGGAAAGCTGGCAGGGAAATGGGTTCTGGTTCCTTGCTTTCAAAAAAGCACTTCAGGTTTCGCTCACTCAGCTTGGTGGCATACAGCTGGAAAATCTGCTCCAGTTGCTCCTTCTCCGTCCCCTCATACACTCTCCAGAACATCAGCTGGAGGTGGCTGACTTTTGACTGGCAGCTGGCACAGCAAGAGGTTAGCAGGGAGAGGAGAGCTGTGGTAACTATCACACACCATCCTAAAATCTGAGAAGGCAAAAGAAATCAGTTTCAGGTTAAAAAGACCCAAGTGAAAATGCAACTTGAATCATGAATGTCTAATAAAGTGACCACACTTTGTTTCCATTTGACATTAGTGGGACATCCACGTGGGGATTTGCCTTAGGTTGGAAATGGGGATGTGCATTCTATTCCCATCTGTTAAAAGTGGGGCAGTTATCTTCTGTTAATTAAGCAGTTTTCTTTATCTCTTCCACAACCAATCCTCCCTCTGGGAGATATCTTCTGTTAATGGGCCACAGAGTCTCAATGCATGACTGATAAAAATTACATCATCCGATTGTGAGAAGCGCTGCCCAAGGGGAGGAGCCAAGCATTCCTACCTGGATATAATCTGATCTTTGTAACACTACAGTCAGCCTTTTCCCACTGAATTCTGAGGAGCAGCCTTTTCCCACTGGATTTCCAAAGGGGCAACTGTCTTCTCCACTGGATTCCCAGGGGAAGACCAGGCCCATTTACACCACCAGCAGACCTTCAGAGGAAACCTACCCCCTTCTACAGGATCTGTGCTACAACAGAACCACATCTGTCACTCCAGGACTGCAGCCACCATTTAATCAGTCTGCTACCAACAGCCTGACCCACAGGATGTCAAACTGTATTCTGACTCTGTAAGTGGCTTGTTTTCTTTTTTTGTACTATTATATTTGTATTTTTAATTTTCCTAATAAAGAACTGTTATACCTATTCCCATATCTTTGCCTGAGAGCCCCTTAATTTCAAAATTATAATTCAGAGGGAGGGGGTTTACATTTTGTATTTCAAGGAAGGCTCCTGCCTTCCTTAGCAGACACCTGTCTTTTCAAACCAAGACAGGACTGAAGAGAAAGAGTAAGTCCATCAGCATAGAGGCTTCTCAATACTGCTCCTTTTGGTGTCTCTTTGATAAAGAGTAAAGTGTTTTCTAACTCCTGAAAGCATTACATAAAACTACCCAACAAGAATTACTAATTTTGAATCATGAAGAACTACAAAATCAAAAAGGGCAAGTAACTTTTGTTCTAGATCAACCAACCTTTTAAACTGTGACCATTGTTAGATGTTTTGTTTTCTGACTTCTTTTTATTAGGAAAAAATGTCCAGCAAAACAACTACATAATTAACCACCATCACTCAACTTCTTTTTTCTGTAGCAGCTTCATAATGGGACAAAATTCTATCAAGAACATTTTAAAAGAAAGAGCCACTTCCATAATTACTTCCTCAGTAAGGGGAGAGAATGGAAAAATGTGCTTGAAATGGTTATGGTGGGATGTTCTCCTCTAAGGAGAGCAGCAGTGTGAACACAATTTTTCCTGCCTTGTGCCACTGGTTAGCCAACGGTTTTACTTGTCTAATCCACTGCAATGTGTTTAAAAAAAAAAAAAAATTAAACTTTTTTTCAAACACTGGGATAGTTCCAGAATGGAGCAAAGATTCTAGGGCTCAGAGGCTTGTATGAACTGGAACTGATTTCCCATGCTCTAATGGTGATGATATGGAGAGCTGTATCCTTTCTCATGTGAACTCTTGCACTGATGTTAAAAAAATAACCAGCAGTATTAATCTGTGCTTAGCTGATGGAATATAGAAAGTTTCTTCAGGGAAGTCTGTGAAACAGAGAAGCTTAACTGGTATGGAAGAATAGTTAGAGCTTTTCTTTATTTTTCCCAATCACTTTGTATTGACTGCCGATTTTTATGGGTATTTGAGAAATTGCTCTTTCTTGCAGCTTGGAAATGAACTCATATATTCTCGTGCTAAAACTGAATCCCTGGTCTTTCAGTATTTTCTATACATACAACAAAAAGTCTTAAGCACTATCTGTTGTTGCTTTCTAAAACTATCAAATAAATTGCTTTGTCGGCAGTGCAGTCTTTGTCCTGTTTGCATGAGGGCTTGAAAACAAAACCAGCTCCTGGAAAGGAAATTGTTCCAGATGGATACAATTCCTGACAAAAATTTGCTGGCTGCACATACTGTCTTTCCTTTTCTTTAGCTTTTTTTTTATAATTCGCTCCACTGTTTTGATTTTTTTTCCTCTGAAATTATTTGCATTACAATGCAGAGAGCAAAACTGTACTGCACAAATACTAGAAAATGTAGTAAGATCTCAGCTTTGCATGATCTGCTTGCTTTATTGTTTCTCACTTCCTCCAAGCAGGACAAAAACATGCTTACATTTGACATCATTAAAATGAGGAGCACAAACAGAAATACATTATGTAAGCACTCAAAAGATATTTCACAAATTTTGTTTTCCAGTATTTTTCTGCTGTTAGTGACCAAAAAAAATCCTTACAGTTATCACAACGATTTAAAATAGGAGAGTGTGGCATGAATCTTTTAATAGGACAGACCCCTTTAATGAGGTGACATCTGTTAAATCAGCCTCCTAAACAATCCAGTTGGGGTTTTTTTTTTTTTTTTTTTGGGTTTTTTTTTTTTTTTTTTTGCTCCTTAGAGCAATCTCCGTTCACAAAGAAAGCTTTAGGTTTTCTGGTCTTATTGACCCCGCCACCAGTGAGGACCCCTAAGAAATATGGAACAGCTCAAACTGAAACAAAAGATGGATTGATTGTGTTTTGCAAGGCTGCCAAAACATTATTTACATGAAGCCAACAGTTTTAAGAAAACTTCTGACATCAGGATCTTCCACAGATAAATCCCAGCAGCAGTACAAGCTGGATAATGCTCTTTGTTTATAATTTTTCTTACCTGGGACTGTGCTTGAAGTGTTCTTTTCAGTTCATCACTCTCTGAAAAGGGCAGGGAGCTTTTGTCACAGGCTATCTTGTATAGCTCTTCGAAGCAGTTCTCCGATTTGCTGTGGCAAACCGCTTGTAAGTAGGCAGGATTTTTCAAGCCACTCATGGCACATTCGTAAAAAGTCCCGTTGAGCAAAGCCACGGAAAGCCACATCACTGGGGCTACCAGAGCATTTAAAGTGATTTGTCCAAAGACGTAAAAGAAATGGCAGATATTCCCTCTGGGGAATATTTTCCTGGGATTCACCCAGCAGCCTGTAAAGAGTTTCCAGGTCTTGCTGTTCAAGAAGTATCCAATAACCAGCAAAACAAGAGCTGGAGAGAAGAGAAATACCAAACCGTACCTGAAGTTTTCATTGCTGCAAGGGCATCTGAAAGCAACAAGAGAAAACACACGTTCACCTCCCATTGTCAGCAGCGCCATAAAACTGTAACCTATAGCGGTTTTCCTGTTCATAAAGAACTTCAGGATTGTTTGGAATGCATCCATCTCTGGTACTCACTAAGGAGGTGAAAATCGAGCCGGTTTCCCTGCGTTGGCAGCGGCGTGCGGCGGGGCAGAGCGCTCCCGAGGCGGCGCAGCCCGGCGCTCTCCCGCCTGCCCACGCCCTGCCGGGATAACGCCGTGATGTCACCGCCGCAGATCCGCGCTTGCAGGGGACCCGCCGCTGGCAGGGCAGATGTGGCACATTCACAGTAGCATCCACCGGCAGAGGAAAGAAAGCAAGCAGCACTCTGTGTAACCAACTAAGTTTGCAGTCTTGTGGGCTGTTTGGTTTTTGAAGTGACTGCGGAGTTGCGGGAGATCTTGAGCTGTGATAAAAAAAAGTTGCTGGTGAGGTAGTCAATGACCTAATATAGATGCTAATGGTCCCAAGGGACTACGACATGACTGAAAGCAGACGAGTGATAACAGTAGAACCACTTTGTGTGGGGTTGTAAATGTAGGAACTTCAAAGAAGAACAGCTCTCTGCTGTGTTTTCCTGGGGCATCACATAGCTCTAGATTTGCATTGCTAGCTCAAGCTGATCATAAAAGAGACAAATATGCTTTGATTTCTAGCCTGTCTGGCTCTCCCCCCTTATTTCCTGGGGTAAAATTTGTCTACAGGATGCTTCTGTCTGAAGTTTCACCTCTGGTTTGCACGCAACACATTTAAGCAGCAGAGTTTCATTCTTTTGCAGGTTGCTTTCAAGATGTACCTTGGGGTCACCCCTAGTGTGAGCTGCAATAGTGCCACAGGAAATGAATTCTCCTTAATCCTGGACAAAAACCCACTAGTGGACTTTGTGGAGGAGCTGCCAGCAGAACGAGCGTCACTTTGCTATTGTAACCTCCTCTGTGGGGTGATTCGAGGTGCCTTGGAAATGGTAAGGAAGTGCACATCTGTTTTCTCCATTCTTTGTTAATTCACAGAAGCACAGGTAAACAAAATCACTTGTTCAGATAAAAGTAGGAAATACAGTATTGTTTAACCTCTCAGGTTAAATGTCTATATCTAGATAAAAGAGGGCAAGGATGATCCTGGATCCTGAGGTAGAGAAGCACATAGATTATCTCACCTCCACATTGTCCCTGCCTGACTGTTCAGTCTGTTCAGTGGCTGACCTGGTTGCAAAAGCCAGGTGGGATCAGGAAGCCAGGTAACACTTAAAGTGGAGGGACAGAGGGACATGTTGTATTCCTTCAGTGTTCCTGGAGCCTATCACACTTCCCTGCACAGCTGTAGCCAGTAATAGTCATCCCTGATTCTTTCCAAATATGTCAAGATAAATAATATTTTCGGTTTATTGTGGTTCCTGCTGAAAGAGAGAACAAAGTGTGGATGAGTATAATGCTAAAATCAAAGCATCAGAAGTGTACCAGATGGCAATCCAAATTTTGTTCTTAAATTTAAGGTCTTTGCAAAGAAAGAAATAAAGGGCATAATTTGAAAATTTCTGACCTGTAGAGCTTCTTCAGGGAGATTACTTTTGGGCTCCTTTATGTTTTTGTCAATATCAAATTTGACATGTATCTTATATTTCAAGAGACAAAAAACTCAACCCGGTGGTGTTATGTACATACATCAGTCTCAGAATTATAGTATCTGATACAAGGCTAATTAACAAGAGTATTATATCGTAAGTCTTAGTACGTGACCAGGAAATTCTGTGATCACAAAATCATCAAGTACGCAATTTAGGGTCTCAGAAGCACTGGGAGAGGGGTAATATGCTCTATAAATTCCAGTGTCTATAAACTCCCTTTGTATTAGCTTAGTTGGGAAAGCTATTTTAAAACAATCTAGATATCTGTTTCCTATGAAACCTGAGAAAGGGGGTCATTTTGTGGTAAGAGGGAGAGAAAAAGCTCATTATATTGGAGGAGGGTGGAAAACTGGGCATTTCTTTGCTTAACTGATCAGACTTGATTCTTTCCAGGTTCACTTAGCAGCAGAAGTTTCCTTCCTGCAGGACAGGCTGAAGGGCGATGCTGTGACAGAAATAGGAATTACATTTTTAAGGAAGCCTGAAGACAGAAAGCACAGAAGGAACAAATGAAAGAAATATTGGGAGAAACTCTTACTGTGGGATATTTTGTGCCTTTTGTTTCAGAAGAAGACAGGGTAAAAATGTCTTTGCTGCACTAGTCACCTGGTTAAAAGGTGAAGAGAGCTGGGCAAAGAGGAGGGGCAGGGCAGGGGAGAGCAATGTTAATTGTTGTGACACAGGTATCAGTTAAAAAGAAAAGATCTGGCCTTCCTTCTCACATACCCAGGCTCTTGAGCTTAATGAAAGTTTTATCTCAGTATTTAGTGTTTGGTAAATATTCATCTGTAGATCAACTGTTTTCAGGTAAAGCTGATGACCTTTCCCCATTTTATCAGTAATGTTTCAAAGCATGGCTGCTAGAGGCACTTTATTTCCCTGGCTGTGTGTGCTTATCCAGAAAGAATTCCTCTGCTGTGATTGATGTATGCAGTGTCTCGCTTACAGGTACATGTTTTGATGCGTAATGCTTTGCCATTCATTGTCCTCCACACTGTACATCCTGCTGCCTTTGAAACCAGGGAGGGATGGGTCTTCACTGATGCTGGTTGTGTTCTTTCCAGCTCTTCAGGCACCACATGCAGTTTTGCTGGCGCTCCTGTTCAGTCCTGTGCACGCACCAGGCTGCAGCACTCTGACAAGTGCAGCAATGCATGTGTCTCACAAAGCTATGGGACTTTTCATGTCAGCCTTCTCTCCAAGAGCACTGATCTTGTGACCAAACTGAACAAAGCATGATGTATTTAACGTGTAGCCATTGTTGATCTGCACCTGCCTAAGGAAACTTGAATTAAAATTCTGAGTTTGCCACACAACTGGTTTGGTAGTTGTGTTTTCTGTTCTTACCTGGCCTTCACCACCAGCTGTTGAACATCTTTCTCTTGGCAGTGGATTTGTTTCCACAACATGACTGGGAAATAGAGAAAGAGCAGCCTCAGAGAAACCCAAGTTATAGGAAAGGTTTAAAGTTTTTTGTTGTAACGCAAGATGTCTGGATAAGGGTTGGACAGAACCCCAGGTCCTAGCAGAACACCCTACCCACAAAGCCAGCTTACCCTCTTCTCACCAAAATGCTTGTTTAAACTGGAATACCAACAACTAAGTTCAGTGTAGTCCCAGATTAACTCTGATTTTATCAGTGTTTTGTACCTTCTTCTCCTATTTTCCCCTCAGTCTATTTACATCTTCATCATGCTAAGTGGGGGCATCTCTTACTGCTGTTACCTGCTACCAGAGAGAAGTGCCAACATGTATGTGTAACAATATGTTATAACCAGTAACAAATTTCCCTGACTTTTTTTTTCCTAATTATTATTAATGTTTTTTTTTAATTAGAGCTGAAATGTGTTGTGGAATTTCACTACCTGTGCAAGAGTTCTCAGGTTTTTGATAGTTGAGATGTACATGTGGCCAACCACAATAAAGGCTGTTTATTGGCAATGGCCATTTTTACTTTTTCTAGCAACACTATCCAAACATTCTCTTTTTAAAAATTATTATTATCTTGAAAGTGAATAACCCATACTGTCCTTGTTTTCTTACAGAATTACAGAACTGTTAGGGTTGGAAGAGACCTTTGTAGGTCATCTAGTCCAACCCCCTGACAAGGCAGGGTCACCTAGAGCAGCTGACACAGGAAAAAAATTTAGGTTGGTCTGTATTGTCTCCATGACCTCCCTGGGAAGCTCTGCCACCCTCAATGTAAAGAAGTTCTTCTCATGTTGAGGTGAAGCTTCTTGTGCTTTAGACTGTAGCTGTTGCTCATCCTCTTGTTGCTGGGCACCACTGAAAAGGGTCTGGCACCCTCTTCTTGCCACCCACCTTTGAGATGTATTAATGAGATCCTCTCTCAATCCTCTCTTCTCTGGACCAAGCAGGCCCAGCTCCTGCAGTCTCCCCTCATAAGAGATGCTCCAGACCCAAATCACCTTTGTGGCCCTTCTGCTGGGCCCTCTCTAGTAGCTCCTTGTCCTTCTTGTACTGAGGAGCCCAGAACTGGACACAGCACTTCAGATATGACCTCACCAGGGCTGAGTAGAGGGGGAGGAGCATCTCTCATCTGCTGGCCCTGCTCTTCTCAATGCATCAGAAGACACCAGTGGCCCTCCTAGCTACCAGAGCACTGGTGGCTCATAGTCAGCTTTTCATCCGCCGAGACACCCAGGTCCTTCTCTACAGGGATGCTCTCTAAGAGGTCAGCCCCCAGCCTGCATTGTTACTCTATAATCACCAAGTTTCTTGGAAGGAAAAGATCACTGATCAAGTAAATGACCGTGATGAATATTTTTAAAAAATGCTTTTCTACAAGCAGAATTAAATCTTGTTTTGCCTTCATGTGTTATATTTTGAGTTAATAGTGAGAAAGAAGCTTCCAAGCTTGTTATATGTAGCTAGTTAAAATAGACTCTCCCCTTCTTCCTTCCTGGCAAATAACTTCTTGGGATTCCTCTCTGCCTGAATAATTTCTGAGTTTATTGTGTAGAAAGAGAATTTCTAGGAGAAGTAAACGGACAGCCCAGACCAAAAATCTGACTTACAGATCTAAAATGCTCTCTTAAACAACAGCTTTTCAGAAGAAAAGTGAACTTTATTATTATTAATTCAAAACTTGTATCTTTATTTCTTATAAGATGTTCTTTGATAAGATTATTACTACTTGTGTATATGGATTGCAGATTTTTAATGTCCTTAAATGTATGAATGTGCTTTTAATGTTTGTTAATACAGAAGCTTCACCTACACCGCCATGTTATGCATGAGCCTAACCCCTCATTAATCTACAGCTTGCTCTAAGCTTCTCTGAAGGCTTCAATGTAAAGAGAGAGCTAATAAACTGAGCCGAATTTCTGATCAAATCTTCCACTCCTTTTGTCTCTTTGATAAGGTTTGGTATTGTCACTCCACCTGCCAAGTTCTTTTAAGATATCAGTAATAATTTGACACAGTACATGATGACATCTTGTGGATTCTGATTATTTTATACAACTCTTCTTAATGGACAACAACATAAGAAAACTCCCACTTAAATGTACTAAAGCAAAAGGATTAAAATGTATTGAAAAGCAAATCTACTGATTACAACTATCAGCTTTCACTTTGTTTGCATAGATTTCAGTAAGAGCAGAGAATAAGACTCTTCTTATATCAGTAGGGCTAAAAAGACTGCCAACATTGCAAAGGATTTGCTTCACTACAACCCTGACACACTTGTGTGGGTTTCATCCACAAATGCTAAAACACTGAGATCCTGACCTTCTTCATTGAATTTGGCACTGCTGCCTCTATTGGTGCTCACGTACTTGTGTATCATGCTGTAATACTGCTCTTGTGAATTAAAGGTATACAAGATTGAAATCTTCTGCCAGTCTTCGTTGCTGGGAGTATGAAATGGTGCTGGGTCAGTGGCTTCAAAAAAGCAATTTGTATTTCTTTCTGCTAGCTTGGTTGCATGCTCTTTGGCTTTGATCTCGAAGAGTTCCTGTTCTTTTTTTGAGTAAATTTTCCAGAACTTGAGCTGAAGATAGCTGACTGGGGAGCAACAGCGGGTGACACATGTTGAAATCAGTGACACAGTCACGATGCTGGCTATCAGGAACCATCCTATCAGCTTGAAAAAAGGATATATAGGTTAATGGTTGTCTTGTATGGTCATATGTGAGAGTATAGAACATAACACTGAAAAAATAAGAAAACTCTAAGCAAAGACACCCTGGAGTGCATGTAACTGTCTGCTTGCTGCCAAAAAAGGGGATCCCATGCATGCAATTCAGCCAGACATACAGAGCTTCTGCACCTCTCAGCTGACCATTTCAGATTAAGGATGAATATTGAAAAGAGAGAATATGGACATAAGTTATTTATTTAGTTATATCCAGCTTTCTTAAGTTTTAAGGCAGGATACTGACCATCAGTTTCTGCAGTTGTGGTCACATTTATGGTACAGAGGGTGCAGAATCACTCTGTGTGCTTTGTGCTGCAAATCAGAGCTCCTGCTGGCTATGTTCTTATGGAATGTAGTTACTCTCCCTGATGTCTGAGCCTGCAAAAACAGCTAGTTTTTGCAGAATGCAGAGGAAAGGTTGTGTCCTGTATGTTTTGTAGGCAGGACACAGATTTGGCTATAATATGGGCATTCATTCTTGTTTTATACCTGATTTTAATACCCTTAGACAAGTCTCACAGGTCCCAGCAAAACCAGTATCCTAGTAGATGCTGGTCCCTCCTCTACCCACGGGTACTTAGCTGGAAGCTCCAGGCAGAGGTCCTGCAACATGCTCTTTTACCTCAGGATGACTTCTTCTTCAAACGAAAAAGTATTGAGTGCTAAACAAAGAGATGTTTGTGTTCTTTTTGGTTCTTAATTTTGTTGAAAGTAGGTTGGATATTAAAAATAGTGGTCAGTATTGAAAGTGGTCAGTGGTGAAAGCACAGTAAAACTGCACTTTCACTTTTCCTTTTTTTGTTTGACTGGATGTTTCTGTTATATTCCACTGCAATGTCAGTAACAGTCAGTCTCCCTTGGTTTTGCTCCTTTCTTACCCTATCTAAAATCAATGGTATAGAGTTTGCCCCTTTCCAGCCTTGCTCTTGGAGAAGCAGCATGCTAAGTATTTAACAAATATAAACACATTTTTGTTTTAATAGACATTTGTACTAAATAGGAATTTACAAAGATTCAAGTAATTATAAACACTTATAAACTTAACTCCTTTAACCAACTCTTAATGATTTCTTGAGGAAAAAGTTGCAAAATGTGATTTTCCTACTGGAGTTAAGACAAAATCCACACAAATGTAGAAACAAAACTGGAGCGCTACCAATGAACCAAACAGAAAACTATGCACAAGGGTTACTGTTTTGATAATGCAATTTGCCTTCAGCACAAGAAACTTTAACAAGACAGATATATATGTTAACTATTCTTCTAGAATACAAGTGTGAAATTATTAAGAGGTTCAAGCATTGAGATTTATAGTCAAACAAGCTGTTTGCATTTGTTTCTCTTTCCAAACATCTCCTTGCAACAATTCTGTTGCAAGGAGACACAGCTTCCCCTCTGTTAGTGATCTTAGCTTACTTTCAACTAATGCTTATTTGCAGAAGTTTGAGGTATTCAGAGGCAAAAAAGTGGAGAAGAACTCACACTTGGTCTAAGTTAATTGAGAAGAAAACTTGCTGTGGAAAGTCCTGTTTTCTAGGCTGGTTTCCTGTCCATGAGGTTTTGTAAATGACAATGACAAACCATTACCATGCAAACATGAGAAACCAGAAAGTATCGTAAAAATATACCTATTTCTTTACTATTGCTGCTTTTTTGCCAATGAATTTTGGCTAGCCAATTGCTTTTGGTACATGAATTATATAACAAAAAAGAGAAGGACTGTTTACAGTCCCCAGCAGACACCACTATGCATTGAGCAGCCAGGGTTGAAGCCCATAGTGTGAGGAGAAGAGCAGTGAGGCTTTACCTGGGACTGAGCCTGAAGGCTGACCCATTCACTTGATATCTTTGCTGATAACTCCTTATTGCAGGGCATTTTGAACAGCATTTCTTGGGTGTAATTTCCATTAAATTTATGCAAGAGGCTTGCTGTCATGTTGCTCCCGCTGGCCGCACACTCGTAGAAGTCGGCTCCAAGCAGAGCCACCGCTATCCAGGTGAGCGGGGCCACCGAGGCTTTGGCTGTCATCAGCACCAACAGCTGGCAGAAGCTGGCACAGGCTCCCCAGGGACTGCGCTGGAAATGTTTCTCTGGAGAGCACGTGCCTGTAAACAGGCGCCATGTCCTGGCACTCACCATGTAGCCGAGCAGCAAGAGGACGAAGGCAGGTGCTAAAAGGAAGGAAGAACCATACAGCATGTTCCCAGAGTTGCAGGGACACTTGAACACCACAGATGAGAAGATGTGCTCACTGCCAGCCGTCAGCAGGGACACGATGCTGTAACTCAGAGTGGTCTGGTGGCGGATGCAGAAATCTAATGCCTTACGGAACCTATCCATTTTCTGCCTCTCCTTGCTTTGAGAGCAAAATCTCTGTCAGAAAAGGAAAAATGAGAGACAAGTCTCCTGCTCTCCCAAGCCTAGAGAGGCTTGCAGAGCTTTCAGTTTCTTTTGGTGGTGGTGATGCAATGAGGCACAAAAATAGCCCTTCATAGAGGAATTAACAGTCAGTGCACAGTCAAGCAGAATCCACACTGGAAAACCATTGCAGTTATCAACAGCAAGACAATGAAGAGATTTTTTTCTATAAAAATAGTTTGTATTTGTCCACACATGCATTGTAACTAGCAATGGTTTAAACCTCATCATCTTTTCAGTGAGGCATCAGATTCAAAGTGTGAATAAAATGTGAGAAAACCACCCAGAACCATATACAGATTTTTATCCTGCTTTATTTTTAGCTATACAATATGGCTTGTTCTCTTATGGAAGAAAATTCAACTATAATCATGTCAATTTTTCAAGATAATCAATCTATTTTTTTAAAGTAGTTATGTTGGAAATTATATAACTCTTACATTTTTTCACTTTAAAGTACATTAAATCATGGATTTGCTTGTCTTTGCCAAGGGGAAGGGCATCTGGACCTTGTAGTTTGTTTAATCTTTAATCTGCTGAGGCTTTGGGACTTGCTGGACAAGGCCTGATAAACTCCAATTAAAAAAAGGGTGTTTTGGAGGTCAGGAATTTGAAAATTCACAGTTCCCATTTCAGCTCTTTGGGCAGCTGAGAGGGTGGCACAGAGGCTCCAGAGCAGGTAGCATTGGTTTCAGGCGGCTGCTGGGCTTAGAGCAGATGTGCCGTGCTCAGAGCCAACCTGCTGCTGCTGCAGAGGAGAACGTGCTGCTAAATTAAGACGCTTGTTTTGGCCTGCAGGAGCCCTTGTTATTATGTAGCAGTATAATATAATGACATAGCAGTCAAAAAAGGATGTAAAACCAGAAAGAATTAGTCAGACTGAAGTTTAGTCTGGCCAAATCTCAGTTACAGCCAATAGCTGAGTGGGGAGCACAGGGACAGGGAAAGGAAGTTTGACAATGCTTTCACACCCTGTGTGATTTCAGGGATTTCCTTTGTATCTAATGCCTTTTGTTTTAACCCATGCAGACTTACTGACATTCAAAATATTGTATAGCAAGCATGCTTAACCTTCATTAGAACCTAACACTATCCATTTGATGTCCCCAAGATCTGGAAGGGAAAGAGAAAAAGGAATGGATCCTTGACATTTCCATTGCCACCTTCAACATAGCCCTCTCTTTCCCAGGCTGGGGAAACCCTAATATAGTCATTCCTCATTTGATATATACCTTCATATCCTTTCTTAATCCATGTTGCCACCTGAACTGTTCTCTAGGATTCAGGCATCATTTTTCACATGAGAGGAAACAGGAAGTATACCAGATTTCTAGTGCATTGAAGATGCAACTGAATCACAGTTTGCTACAAGGGAATACTGACATTTGTCTTTTATATCCTAGAAATAATTTCTATACTTTTTAAAATCATCCACAAATTGATATTTTAACAAGATATGTATTATAATAAAAAGCCCTTCAGTCCCTGAGAGATAACCTCAGCAAGCTCAGAGTCTATCAGTGTATACTGTTCACAACAGTATACATGAAGGTAGGATTTGGTTTCACTTTGAACACCATTTCTTCTATACTGAATTAGATATACCATTTTGCTTTCTGATCAGACAGCCTAAGCAAGTATCTCACCAGCTCTTTAAAGCAGTGGTTAATTTTTAAATATCAAGAATAACTATACATTATTGGCAAGTTTGGTTAACCTAGTTAGAGGTAGTTAGAGACAGAGGTTATAAAGCCATGAAATCAGAATTCACTATACCTGAAAAAGTTTTAGCAGATGCCCCATCCATGGAAGTGTTCCAGGACAGGCTGGATGAGGTTTTAAGATGCTTTGTCTTGTGGAAATTGTCCCTGCCCATGGCAGGGGTGGAAGTGGATGTTCTTTAAGGACCCTTCCAGCCTAAACTTTTTGATGATTCTTTGATTCTCTGTCAGCATGGCAGAAGAAAATGATGCAATGTGAAATTGCTGCAAGGAGACATCCTGACAAAGACAGGGACATGGGCTGCCTCCAAGAACCACTGGTTTAACAAGAGAGGCAAAGGACCAGAGGCAGCTCTCTGGAACAGATTATGACCACACAGGGTAAAGTGTAGAGCTAAGAAACCCTGCTACTTCTCTTTCTGAGCCTAATTTTAGCAGTGTTTTATTTATCTGTAATAAAATATGGAACCAGCTTCTTGGGAAAAGGGAGGGGAGCTCTGCATGAAAAAGGATTAACCCTCCTCTAAGAAAACATGTTTCCAGTAAATATTCACAGAGTGGTGGGTGAGGGAAGAGAGACCACCCTAGCTGGGAAGTGGGGGAGCAGCTGTGCTGACAGCCAAGTGGGGTGCAGGAGTGGCCAGGGTGAGCCCAGCTGGTGGCAGCTTTGGGAACTGGGGAGAAGACCAAGGGTGTGAGGAGCTGTGGGGCCAGGGAATTACAGAGCCCCTGTTCACTCAGAGCTCTCTTCTCCTAGGGCAGCTCTTTCTTGCCCTCTAAATTAACACTTGTCTGGCCACAACAGCTGCAAAGCATTATAAGGAAAATATTCAGAAAAACAGCTTTCTGTTAAAGGACCCAAAATTCCAATTTAATGGCTGTTTTTACATTGATTTGCATTAAATTTCATGTCTTCCAAGGGGGATGGGAACAGTTCGAGAATTTAAAAGGTGGGCTTTTTTAGAACAAAATGCTACTTTTTTACTTGAAGCATCTTTCTGCTTTGAAATATTCTTTATTAAAATGAAGAGGTCAGCTGAAAACAAGTGGACTTGTTTAATATTTTATTTTCTCCTTGACATTTTAACTTTTATCCTTTCATTTGCAGAGGAATAATTCCCAAACATTTTCTAGGTGGAAGAAGCTGTAGTCTGAACTTATTCTGTGGTTCCATAAAATGCATAATACTGGTCATAAATGCAGCGTGTGTTAGTGTAAGTGCACTGAAGGGCTTTACCAGTGCATATTGTGAAGATCTAATTTTAGTTATGTTAGTAAGTCCTTACAGTAAGTTATTTTTAATTTTTTTTCTGGAACTTTTTCTACTTGATCAGAATAGCCAAGGAGTGGTTTTGTTTTCCTACAAGTCATGCTCCTTCCAGCTGTTACATCCAAGGCCCATCCTATCCTAAATTCCTTCCATTAGTCTTATAAAGCTCAACTTCCTCTTCATATTAATACTGCAGTATCTTGTACATTCATGGTTGCAATGGAAAAGGGCACATCTGCACTGGTTTTATGTTTATAAGAATTGGACTTATTTCTTCAACTGAAAGAGATTTAAGCTCCATTTCTCCAGTTCAGAAAGACACATGGATAATAAGTATTTTTATTCTATTCTTATAATGCCTTTTGTCTCATTCTGGGTGAAATGAATGCTGAAAATGTTGGAGGTCCTGTCCACAAGCAGCTCTGCACCTACCCTCCAGGTGGGCTGACCTCCCCCAGAGGCCCATTGCCTCACTTTGTGAAACTGAGGAAGTTATTCTGACTTTATGGTTGAACCAGTCTTCTTACAAGTTTAGGAAGTGTCACACAGCTCAGTGGCACCACATAAATCAATACTAGTACTAATAGTATAACAGCAGCCTGAGAAGTAGCACTGTGCCTGGGCATGCACAGCTGACAAGCATTTGTGTACATTATACTGCTATTTTAAGGCATTACATTTATTAGCAGTTTTTGGCTGAAAATGAATTTTAGCGGGCAGGAAAGGAACAGGTCTGGAAAACCAAGCATGGCTCTGCAAGAGGCTCTGATGGGTGAGCTCTGGTACAGAGTCACATAAGTCACGGCACTAACTGTCCCTTGCCATTATTTACTGCTGCTCTTTTAACAGTGTGGGTCCACTGCATGTCTCATTTCTGTATGGGAGGGTCCTGTGACCCAGTCCAAATGTCCCATAGCAATCAGCTACATGAGGGTTTTACTGCCATAAAAAAATTGATGTGATTCTTTAATGCTCTCTGCAGATTAAATGACAAATATTTGCTGAACTTAAAAGAAAGAAGCATAGGATTAGAAGGGTAGAAGTTGTCATGTTTTATGATGAAATTAAGTAGCCTTGGTGAGGCAGATTATAGTTAAGACTAATTAACTAAGAGCAAATCACCCTGGGTAGTTAACTAGTCAGTTCTAAGAAATAAAAGTTCTATCTTTTTCATTTACTATGGAAAATGAAATGCCATAAAATTACTTTGCAAATTTGAGCATGTTAAGCCCAAAATATTTCTATGCTCTTACTATACATGTATTTTATTCCATGTGTCCTTGCTTTCTTCAGGTTATACCATCCCACCTTGCTGCCTTGGAATTGCTGCATAGCTGAGAGTTCACAGAGTCATAGAATCATAGAATGGTCTTGGTTGAAAAAGACTTGAAAAATCACCTGGCTCCAACCTTCCTGCCATGTACTGTGAGCCTTCCACTAGACCAGGGCACTCAGGACCCCATCCAGTCCAGTCTTGAACACTTCCAGGGATGGGGCAGAACCTCTCTGGGTGATCTGTTCCAGAGCCTCACCACCCCCACAGTAAATAATTTCTTCTTGATATCTAATCTAAATCTGTCTTCTTTCGTCTTAAGGCCATTCCCCCTTGTCCTAAGATTTCATCTGTTCCACTCTGTGTGGGCGTATGTGTGTGTCCTAATGGTAGCTGATCATGCGCTACAAAACATGCTCTGTACTTTTCCATTCAATTAATCCTTTCTCTTTTCAAACTTGAACAAATTAACTAGTTCATGGTAGTACACCACTGTCTCCAGTTTCCCATCTCAGGTTCCTTTGCTGCCAAAATTTTGTTGCTCATAGAATTTTTTTCTAACAGTAATGCGGCCCAAGAATTGAGATACTATCCTTTTCAAAGTTGTCAAAGAAATGAAAAGTTTCTGGCTTCTGATCCTCAACCTCCCTTGCTCATATATTTTTTTCTAATCAATCTAATCCTTAGCTACAGAATACCCAAGCTGTTTCAGCTCACCACTACTGTACAAGCTGTGTCAGGCTCTCTGGTAACCATGTCTGGCTT